CATACGGGCCAATAAATGAATTATTAGTAATAAACACAAAGAAAAATAAAAAGAAGTTTTTATATTATAAACTTTGTTTTTTTCCCAAGTATAACAATAGAATTCGGAATAAACAAAAATACATACGGTTTAAGATAGCTTTGAAGCAAGATGCTAGCATTTTTGCATAGAATATATTGTAGGTATTAGTTTCAGCATTGAGTGTGTATAATCAATGGTTTCAGGAATGATTTATGGGGGTTTAACTGAATACACCAGAAGAATTAGGGTGTAGCAGAGGGCGTATAGTATCATTTCTTTTGGACTACCAGTTCCGGTAGTGTAGGGAAACTTAATTTTTTCAAATAGAAGCCTTATTCTACATCGGAAAATAATAAACTTTCATGGGAAACGGTTTTGTCTAAACTTATTATTTTTTTTATACTCTTCTAAAAGCGCTACTTTTGGATTGAGCTAGGAAGCTGTTCTGTCAAGAATTTGGCAACTGGTTTTACAAGTCTTTGTGATCTGTATAATATTAAACATACTATTGATTATTAAAATCTCGAGAAGTAGGTTTTATTTAACACTTTATTTTGCCCTAAACTTCAGAGTCAGTTTTCTAATCGGTTATTTTTTATATTTTTTAATACACCTAAGTCGCCAATAACGCTTTATCTTTCAATAGATAGGTTTTGCCACATTTTTCCATATACTTACCACAATAAAAATCAAGTTAGGTACGTACTTTATTTTAAAGATTTAGTAGGTAGTACCTACACAAAGATCTACATTATGATTGTGTGCAACTGTAATTTTGAAATAACAATGACCACATAAATTTGTTTTACAATGACATCAAAAGTGAGAAAACTGTAATGGAATAAATAATTTAAATTGATCAATGAAGTTTAAAACCTATAGAAATACTCGTTTATAATAATGCCCCAGATGTACTCGGCGAGTCTGATGGCAAGCTAGGAAAAGGTCCAGTTGTCCACTGAATGAGATTATGTTCTTGCATTTGAGATGCTTGGAAATGATCCTTCAGTAACATCTGCGAAAAATTCAAATGTCTCTGGAAGGCTTCATTCTCACGATTTGGATCTCCACACAAACGATACAAATCTACAATTAAGAAATTAAAAACGGTATAAGTATTCGGCAATAAACCTTTTAAAATGGCCGACGCCCACAATTGGACGTGAACATCAGGAATTTTGCTAGCCAACTGCATGGCGGGTGTAACCATATTCATACTTTCTCTGCTATTGCCAAGCGAAAGGAAGATATGACCTAATAATACTAACGAACACGAGGTTAAACGGTTTAAGTCTTCTGAGTTTGCCATTTTTAAAGTTTCACGTAGGTATCTCCTATAAAAAAAAAACTGTAAGTGATCCGACTTTAGCGATCATAAATACTCACTTTGCTTCATTGTATCGGCCTTGAAAGAAAGCCTGCAATCCTTGTACATAATATGCAGCTGCACGAAGACTATGCGACTGTGATGGCAGATTTTCTGGATTAATTCTATCTAGCAAAGCGGTAAACTCTCGCTCCCGTTTCGCTCGTAAATAAACTATGGCCAAGTTTAGATTGGCGAAAGTCCACAACTCCCGTTCGCTAGAAGTCTAACAAGGCAACAATGTTAGATTGATGTAAAACATACACTTACTGCGAGTACGGCTGAAAATTGTGCTTCGGCTGCCTCCATACAATTCATGCTCATCGCGTAGAGACCTAATAATGTGTGCAGTTGAGGTCCATGCCTTTCCAACAGCTGAGGATGCTGCCTGCAAAGAGTAGTTGCCGATGTAATTTCTTGTAACGCTTGGGTTTTATTTCCCATTACCAAACGACACATGATTATATGCTCGAGTAGCATTAATTGGAATACTGACAAGATTGGTTTGTTATCAACAACTATAAAAATGACGTCAGTAATAAAGCAATATGAGATGAGTACGTACTTTTGAGTTTTTCAATTTGTATTAACGCTTTATCTGTATATTTTTGCGCTTTTTCCATGTAGCCGGCTTGCATGCTGTGCATAACAGTCACCAGATAGACTAGGACGTACAGGTGTTCCTTTGGCATCCATAAGAACATATCTCCTGCGCTCGGTCCTGTAACCACTGCAAAAATGTTCTTAGTCGCTTGCTACACAGGAGAACTTAGAGTTGTCGGTATTTTAAGTAATGAAACGAAGAAGTGTGTCTAGCAATAAGCAATATCCATGTGTGAGTGTGTTGGGAGGAGTCGGAGGACGCGCATTAATGCATTAATCCGGCAGTCAGATTACAATTGACAGATGATCAGTTAGTTAGTTAGTTGGCAATCAATGCAATACTAGTCCAGGCGTCAGCGGTTTTGAGGAAATAGTATATTAAGATACAAGTGTATAATCAAGTCTTTGAAGCAGGCGCAACGGGTTTAATGGCACGACGCAAAGCGGAGTGCCTTTAACGTTGCAAGTGCTTTAAAGACCAATTATACACTTGTATCTTATAGTATTTTTTATTATACCTGCAGTATAATTTAAAAATAGGAAATATAATTAAATTTACATTACATCTAAAAATTAGTTTTGCATAGTTTTTGAGTCTTTAAACACGTGTGAATCATGTGCAAGCGCTGCATCTAATTCAGATGCTAAGTTGATTGTCTACCTACATAAATACACACAGAGCACAAGAAACAAGTTAAATACGTGGTCACTCACGAAGGACAAAAGTGCAAGGACTAGTAGTGGTACAGACGGACAAAGTGAGAACAATAGCGGTCCCCCCCAAATCGACGTTAAATCACAAAAAGTGATACAACTAAAAACGGTTTTTCCGCTATTTGACGTTTGGCGTTTTCCGTTTGACACTTCACTAAGCGTGCATTATCTGCTGCTCAATAGAGGGCGCTTTTAAGTATACCTAAATGTGTTTCCCATAAAATGCATAAGGTTAGCAATCTGTTGTATGTGTAGATCTGTGGTATTAGGTATAAGTAAAAAACTTAAAACTCAAGAAGTAGGCACACGTGAATATGTCTCAACTTTGTAGCTATATTGGACTGTTGCTAGCAGTACTGCTGGCCTTACCCAGCATTTATTACAACTTACTTTGGTCCACCTGTACAATAAATTAATAGACGACATTTACCTTCATCTGTAGCCATAATAGTTTGTATGCTTTGCTGTAACTGTTTTAAACACGGTTTCACACTCTTCACTTGACCAGCCATTAAATAGTGGCACACCTAGAAACAATAAATAGGACGTTTGCCCATACAAAGATCAAGATACCTGAAGAACCAAAAAGAAAACCTTCAAGTATTCCTTTTGATACACACTTCCCGTCCATGTTTCAATTAAATGTCCAGCTTGGTTCAGAACTGGCTGCACTTCTTGTAGCTTTTTGTCAATTAATAGTAACTTAAAAATATAAGCGTTCAAGAATTCAATAAGAGAATACTAAAAGATTTACCATTGCTTTACTTAGAAGGAACAATACTCGTGTATAGCTTGCACTAGAGATGTGAGCGTAATCAACTCCTACACCTAATAAACTGCTAGCTAATTGATAATCCTTTTCACTGGCGTGTACTTGCTGTAAAATCATACGTAAGTACTACCAAACATTAAGTGAATCACACAACTTACAGCAAGTTGAAAAATTAACCTACAATGCCAATACACATTATGCTGAGATAATTCGACGGCCCTTCTTAAAATGTGTTTGGACGGTGCTAGTTGCTTTTGTTGCTCGTACAGTTCAGCCAAAACGCTCGCAGCCTCAAACTTAACATCGTCGAATGAGTTGATCATTTGAGACAGCAACCACTGAAATTTACACAATTACCGAAACAAACGACAAAGACCTGCAAATTACAGCCTGTTCCAAATGTGTTTTCGCTAAATCGACATTCTTCGTATGAGTAAGTAGAATATTGCCTAATTGCAGGTGAGTTCGTGCCTCAACCCTTGGAGGAGGTTTAAAATTAAAGACCGCTTGTAAACATCGAATGCACATCTTAATCATAGGAGGGCTAGATGTACGAAAATATTCGGCTAATCCTAAAAGAGATAAATACCAAGCGTCTTGCGATGACGCCATTGTTGAAAACGAATTATTTTAATTTAAATTAATAACTATTCGAGCCTTTTAAATTGTTATTATTGTAGCAATCTAGGAAACGGCTTGTTTATAATTATTAGTGACATTTAATAATTAATTCATTAAAACTGGAGCTATTGGTAACATTGTAAACAGTGTTTTATATACAGGGTGTCTCCGAACACTGAACAGATTTTATTTACAGTTCGCCTATAACAAGCTTGTCTGCATACATTTTAATCACTTTACAATTAGCTTTTTATGAAATTAAACTTTCGACGAATTGGCGGCGAGTTAACAGGCACGCAACTAAGCAAATTGCGTAATGGATAATTATGTAGGTCGCTGGCCAAGTAGTTTTTATAATAACCTCACGGTATAAGTTTTGTTATTAATTTATAAAATCATTGAGGTAAGAATTGCTGTTTAGTTACAGACAAACAGACAGCAATACAACATTATAAACCACCTCGAGGCCCGTTAATAAAAAGCAATAAGTGAAAAATTATGGTAGGTACTACCATTGAATTTATAACTACTATATATCTATAAATTCAATGGTACAGTCACTGTAAAACTTTAAAAGAAAACGTAGTTTTTATTTTTACACGGATTATTTGTATCGAGGAATCAAAAGTAAGTAATGAGTTCACATTAAAATGTATGCGTCGTAATATCTGCGTCTTGTAGTGTCCGCGTCCCATTGTCTGCGCCCCAATGTCTGCGGTTTATTCCCTTTGTGGTCTACTGTCTTGCGGTCTAATGTCTTGTGGCCCAATGGCACCCATACTCTTTCATGAAATCATTGTATGTAATACATATACAATGATGAAATGTTATATATAAATCGTGATTGAAATGAAATCTTTTTCATTATTCATGCTACGCCACTGAGTAAGGCGCATGCGCAGACCACGCGACAGTCAGCTGTCACATGTCTGATGCTGTTTATTTTCCCAATCTCTTCCATAAATAAATAAACGTCTTCAATAAGAAATCAAATTTTAAAATTTAAATGGGTTGGCTCGATGCCATTAATTGTTAAACTCGTATTACCCGCAATTTTCTCGTGTGCTTATTGAAAATGAGCTTTACATTGCGATGTGCTTCTCATAAAGTGGAAGAGGTCTTATCAAACATCACTTGAATAATCCCTTTCTTGTATCAACTATCCAAAAACCTGCACATGTATGAGGCGTTGGCGACAGACCCGAATCTTGACATGGCATCGGAATTCACACAAATCGACATCACCAGGAATCGATACCCATTCTGCGTTGTATGGACTCCAATACCGTTTCTTACTTGGTTATTTCCAGTAATTGGGCATATGGGCATAGCTTTATCTTCTGGCATAATTAGAGATTTTGCCGGACCCTACTTTGTATCCGAAGACAATATGGCTTTCGGAGATCCTTCAAAGTATTGGCAATTGAAGTTTAATAATGCAATCGGAGGTAGTGCCGGTTGGGATCGTGCAATCACAGAAGCATCAGATATTTACAAAGAACGCATGCATAATCTATTTTGTGATAACTGTCACTCTCACGTAGCCACAGCATTAAATTTGATGCAGTATAATAATTCAAGTAATTGGAATATGGTAAAGTTAGCATTTTTAATGTTAGTGTATGGAAAGTATGTTAGTTTTGTGGCATTCTTGAAAACGTGGTTGCCATTTCTTGTCCTCCTTACAATTATTTTAGTTATATCATTAAAAGTGTAATTTATGTGTATAAGTGTATTTTTGTAATGTAAATATTAAATGTTTAATGTATCTAAAGTAGAAAAATTAATAGTCCATCTATCTTTGTAAGAGTATATACATGGAGTATACCTACAGTGGGTTGGATTGGTACAGCAGGCTTGAATGTAACCCCTCCCCTCTTAAAAAAAATAAATTTAAAAAATGTGCATTGTCATATTTATTCAATAAGTAGATGCAACTGTATTCATTTTAAATTATTTGCAAACTGCAGTTGTGCTCTAAGCTATAGACGAATATTAGGACCTCACTTAGGCATTATTATAATCGCAAATCTGATCCCTCAATTACCATATGTGTAATTCTTTTCTTAACAAAAGTTTGTTGTGTACTTTAATATACACTGTGTCCAAAATATGATATCTATGATGGACTATTCCCTTCCCCTGCTTAATCAAAAGAAAATATCAGAATATAAAAAAAAATTACATCTACCACTTAATTTTTCCACTTCTATTTTTATAAATTAAATTTGCAGCAAGTAGATCATAATTCTAATGGTATTGCTTAAATTAAAATTTCTGTAAAGAAACACTGCAAAGACAGAGCCCCAGGCTGTTCACATGACAACTTCACCATCTTCCCATGTACAATGCTGCATGTTGTTCGGCAATTATTCAACTGCATACCTGCTAAAAACATTAAAAACTTCTTTATGTCAATGGTAGCAGTAACTACAGAATTAACTTCAGTTGCATCTGCATCATTTGTGTTCTCAAGCAATTCAGTATTATGAGCAACTACAACAAAGACCTCTAAACAGGGGAAATACAACTCAAATTCTCACCTGCAAATGATTCAATGCCGAGATTGGAGAAATGAGCAGTTAAGCTAACAACATCTGTTTTGATGCGTAAACTCAGCTTACCAAACTTTGTTGCGGAGACGATTAAAGAGTGGCCCATGTTTTTCATACGCTCTACTATGCTTTTAATTGGTTTTAAATTAGGCATCTGCATTGAAACCTGCAGAAAACCCTGCCAATTCGATATTACACTAAATCATAACACAATCTTACATGAAAATCGTTAAACTGAGGTTCGGCGTATTCGCCCCAATGTTTCCTACCGATGACTTCAACTGGTATATCATGAACGAGGTGACGATTTTGTAGACCTTCAGTTGATGTCTAAAACAACATCATTAACACCAGAAAATTAGTATCCGACTGACCAATTCCATTTCTAATGTGAGACAGGGAGCTTGTTTGTTGGTAAGTTTCACCTTTAATGATTTTGCATTTTGTTTAACCGTTGATAGGGATTTCAGCAACATTGCTAAGATACAGCGGATAAATTGATTATACTGAAAAATGTTAACATACCAGTAGAAAGTCCTAGGTAAATTTCATTCTGTTCGTGCGAAACACCCTCCAAATTAAATTCTCTAAAGTAAAAGTTTACAGGTAACTCGCACCATACTAGAGGTCTTCTAGGTCCGGTATCATCGTCGGGAATGATGAAGTATACATGTCGAATGGTAATTCGCATCACACATTCCTTTGATAACTTTGATAAACTATTTACAGTCGCTTAAATGATATTATTAAGTTATGTAAATCGTAGTCATAAGGAAATATACTTAAAAAATCTTTCATTGCAGCATTATCTACCAACACCGCACGGAACCGCATTTTAAAAACTATTGTACAAAACTAACTAAGAACTGTTTACATAACCTTAAAATATTTCTTTAAAATTATGGCGCCAAAGTGTTACGGCGCGTGTTTCACATACCTCTGACGGCGGTATTAAAAGTAGCTCACATGCAATAATAAACACCGTGCGTGAAGTATGCAACCATCAAGGCCTATTTTGAACGAAATTAGTTTTACTTGCAGAATTGAAAAATTTGATTTGTTTTAAATTCAAAAATGTTCCAATGCAAATGCCAAAATCTAACATCCAACCAACGTGATGCAATCACCTAATCCAATCGGACCTAAACCTTTAAGCTTAAAAGCCGCTTTACATAGGCAATTTTAAATTCGCTTTAAAGCCGCTTTACATTAGGCAATTTTCGTGCAATGCAAGAGCAATGCAAGTTAGAGATACGTTACTGCGCATGTTCATACGCAATTCAGGTGCAAGAAAAATAAATAGAGAAAGTTCTATTTCACTTGCAAGTTTGGCGCAAGTTCTAGTAACTTTTCTAGTAATTTTGTCAATACCACAATTTATTTGGTTTCGCGTGTGTTATTTTGTGTGTTTTTTTAATAGCAAGCGCCACCATATAACAAACTGTAGCCAGCTTAATTTCCTTTTGTTTGCTCATACCTAATGGTCAATTTTATTAAGTTTCAAGAATAACCTTCTGTGTAAACAAACTGAAAAGTTTCAATTTTTGAAAAATATGTTGTCAGTACTGCAACACTTTTCTGAACTTGCACAAAAGTTGCAACACAATTGCATAAATGTAAAACCGTAATAAGCAATGCAAGGCAATTTTAGATTGCATTGCACAAGCCTTGCATTGTACTAAAATTGCCTAATGTAAAGCGGCAAGCGGCTTTAACAATCACGGACACTGTCCTCCAGATCATGTTTTCACTTTTCAAGTATTGTTTGAAAGATAAAACTTATTGTACCTATTTGCTAAAAAGAACCACTTTTCTTCTTTTTTCTCTTTTACACGCTACGGTTACCAGTTCACGCAAAACGCTCTACGCACGTGAAAAGATAAATGTATCAAATTTCGTAATCGTTCAAAATCTCTTTTTTGTATTTCTAATTGTTTATTTGTTATTACAATATTCTGAAAGCTGGAAGAATGATTTAATCATGAAAAATACGTACATTCAATCCTTCTGATCTGGAGATTAAATTACCGAACTTCCTAATTTTTTTTGTATGATCAGAAGTTAAATGAATTTAAGACAAAAAAAAAACTGTAATATTAAAATGCAGTTTGAATCAATTAGCGGCGGAGAATAGAGCTATGTAACGTACTGGATATTTGGGAGCGTTAAAAAATAGGGAGTACTTACGCCGCTTATTGAGCAGAACGAATGGTCGAGTAGAGTTTTCACCAACTTTTCTTTCGGCCCGGCACACGACAGTAGTAGTATCATGTCATCGCAAACAGCAAGATTCCGACTTGTTTGTTCCTTCCACCAACATTTTTGCGTGCGCACTAAGTACAAGGACGGACAACACGGCAGGGAAAATCAAAATTATGAGGAGTAATAACAATACAAGGAAATTTTTAAAGTGAGGACAACGTACGTTATTTATGTATGCAACAGAAAGTACATGTCCAGAACAAGGTTCTGAGTACAAACGAACGGTCAATTTTTCTAGTTACAATTACAAACGAGCGTTTTTAGAAAAAAATGTCCAATAGAACCAGTTCAGAACACACAAACAAGTCAATATCTGTACTTATTTTTATGGCGAAGTATGCAGGGTGGGTCATTTCAAAAGATCCGCAATATGATATCGTTATACGATACACCTAAAGAGACATATTTGGTGATGATTTTTACTCGTTTCCTTCCATAGGATTTCAATAGTAATTTTTTCATTTCTGATTATTGGTTTCCCTAATTATTTTGGAGATAAAGTCTATTTAGGTTTTTTGTAGAGAAAAAATTACGAATCCATGTATATAGCTTTTAATTTTTTGGACTTTGAAACCAAGAAATTAAAAACTGGCGCTTTTAAGAAAATCAGTGCTACCATATATGACAGTTTGAGATCAAACAAAGCTAACTAATGACAAATTTTTGTTTGATTTGATAATTCCATGGCATTACCGTCTTTATAAAATAGGACACTATAGTATGTACGGATTCGTAATTTTTTTCTCTACAAAAAACCTAAATAGACTTTATTTCTAAAATAATTAGGGAAGCCAATAATCGGAAATTCAAAAATTACTATTGAAATATGGTGCGTTCGTCAAGTCACCACCCCGTATAGTATGCTAAGCTTCCGTTTACTCCCCTAACGTAAACCGATTTGGATGATTAATACTCCATTAATATACGACCAATCAGATTGGTAATTGTTTCAAATTCTAACCAATCAGATGAATTTTTATCTGATTAAAAGCTAGGTAGCTTTTTATCAGCGATAAAAATGTGCGTAGGAATGCGTAAAATATATAATTGTTATTAATCTCCCTAAAATACGCTCGATCTTGGTTTTAAATCAGGATAATTTTATTTTTAATTCACTCAAATTTTGTTGCTTCCTGGAAAAAACTGTCGAACAAAAGCACATGATAAAATCGCTCCAGCTAATATAAAGCTGTCGCGATTTTATCACACTTGATCTCTAGTTTTTTCTGTTGCAACAAAACTTTCGTGTAAAAATAAAATTATCCGAATGAAAATCAAGCTCTTGTGTATTTACTCCCGATTAATGAACTCGTCCCAAATGTATTTAGTATATACAGTTGGAGCTTTCACTCTGTTTTTATGACCACACTGAGATGAATATTTCATCAAATAGATGGGAGTTTTCGTACACCCTGTAGAAGTATAAATTACCCTGTGGAATTATTTGAGTAAATATTTAAATACACACTGCTTCTTTTTTTTAACAAATTCATATGTTAACCTTTTTGCATATCTTGTCCGTTTTTTAATCGAGATTTTTGATATCGACGGACAACTTTGAAGAAGTTGAATTGGTGCCAACTCGTGACGTCACTGCCATTGCGCTGTATCGTGCATTGTGGGATCGCACTGCTCGTATTCCGCTCTCCATCTTTGATTTCTGCTGGGGAAGTAAAAATGTCTCTGTTATCCGCACGTTTGGCTGCTACTGCGGCAAGGCGTTTACCAAATGCTGTATCGCAGGTAAGTTTCTCGTTTTATTATTTCTTTCTATTGAAAGTATTTAATGTGCTTCAATTGTAACATTTTTCTTGACACTGCAACCTTGTGACATAACCGGTACAATTTCATTCTTACATAACTCCTCAAATTTTCGATAAAATCATTTACGAGAACGTTAAACAATTGAAAATGTGAAGAGAACCCAACTCCTTAGTGTTGAACTCATTATGTAACTCCAATCTGTTATATCTAGGTTAGTGCCCCAGCAGCCGTCGCCTCACGTAAGCTCCATGTAACACCTAGCAATCATGGTGCGGAAATTAGTTCGATCTTAGAAGAACGTATTTTGGGATCAGCCCCTAAAGCAGATCTCGACGAAACCGGACGAGTATTGAGTATTGGTGACGGTATCGCTCGTGTGTACGGCCTTAAGAATGTACAAGCGGAGGAGATGGTGGAATTTTCATCCGGTCTTAAAGTAGGGATGCTTATTATACGGTTTAATCGCGTAATTAAAGGGTGCTGATAATTTTAGGGAATGTCCCTTAATTTGGAACCTGACAACGTAGGTGTTGTAGTGTTCGGTAATGACAAATTGATTAAGGAGGGTGATATTGTGAAGAGAACTGGTGCTATTGTCGATGTACCAGTCGGCGCCGAGCTCTTAGGACGTGTCGTTGATGCTTTAGGTTTGATTTTAATATTAATAGTTAATTTTTAGTAACGACATTGTAGGTAATCCTATTGATGGTAAGGGGCCATTGAATGCAAAAACTCGTTTCCGTGTTGGAGTAAAGGCGCCCGGTATTATTCCCAGAGTTTCCGTCAAAGAACCTATGCAAACCGGTATTAAAGCTGTAGACTCGCTTGTACCAATTGGTCGTGGACAGCGAGAACTTATTATTGGAGATCGTCAAACTGGGTATGGTTATTACCTACATTTACACATTTGCGACCGTTCAACTATTATTTCACAGTAAAACCGCTTTGGCCATTGATACAATCATCAACCAAAAGCGTTTCAACGAAGGAACAGATGAAAAGAAGAAGTTGTACTGTATCTACGTGGCTATCGGTCAAAAGAGATCTACGGTAGCTCAAATTTTGAAGAGGTTAACAGATTCGGGAGCCGATAAGTACACCATCATTGTATCGGCCACAGCTTCCGATGCTGCTCCTTTGCAATATCTCGCTCCCTACTCCGGCTGCGCCATGGGAGAATACTTCAGAGATAATGGCAAGCACGCCCTGATTATCTACGACGATTTATCCAAACAAGCTGTGGCTTACCGTCAAATGTCCTTGTTGCTTCGTCGTCCACCCGGTCGTGAAGCCTACCCGGGTGATGTCTTCTATCTTCACTCGCGTCTACTTGAACGTGCCGCTAAAATGAGCGATGCTAATGGAGGTGGCTCATTAACTGCTCTTCCAGTAATTGAAACCCAAGCCGGAGACGTATCCGCTTACATTCCAACCAACGTCATTTCCATTACAGACGGTCAAATCTTTTTGGAAACTGAATTGTTTTACAAAGGTATCCGACCTGCTATCAACGTCGGTTTGTCTGTATCGCGAGTAGGATCAGCTGCCCAAACTAAAGCCATGAAGCAGGTAAATTCGCTTTCAAATCAAAATTATTTTTCTTCCAACTTTTCCATTCTTAAAGGTTGCCGGTTCCATGAAATTGGAGTTGGCTCAATACCGTGAAGTAGCAGCTTTCGCCCAGTTCGGTTCAGATTTAGATGCCGCAACTCAGCAGTTGTTAAACAGAGGTGTTCGTCTAACAGAATTGCTCAAACAGGGCCAATATGTACCAATGGCCATCGAAGAACAAGTTGCCATTATTTATTGTGGTGTCAGGGGTCATCTTGACAAACTGGACCCATCCAAAATTACGAGCTTTGAAAAGGAATTCTCTCAACACATTAAGTAAGCTTCCCAAATATATTAGAACTCTCTCTGTACGTTTGTCGTAGATCGAGTCACCAAGATGTTCTACAAACCATCGCAAAAGAGGGCCACATTTCTGAGTCCACCGATGGTAAATTAAAGAAAATTGTTGTCGATTTCTTGGCGGGATATTCCGGTTAATTTCAAGGTTGTTAATTATATAATTTAAAAAAATTAAAAGTGCTTATTGCTAGTCCAGTTTTTTGACATGATTCTTACTTGTTACAGTTTGTATTGTGGCTGTGGCTAAAAATAAGCCCATGAAATTAGCTTAGATCATTGTGGCAGTCATCATTACTGTAATTAGAAAACATTTCGTAAATAAAGAAGAGTAATAACCCTTTTTTTTAATTGTACTGTTATCTGTATTATGTTTATTGCCTATATTACCTATTTCAATATAAATGTCACTTTATTTGATGTGTTTTTATTTTATTAAGACCTATTAATTAACAAGTCACAATCATTTTTCAGACATACTTTTGAAACTCGATTAAATCTTCAGAAATAGGGTCATAATTTGGGGGGGAAGTAATTGGTGGGGCGAAATTTTTGAAAATCATCTCCAAAATGTTTATTATTTCTACTTTTAAGAATCCTTAGTTTTTATAGTTGGTATTCTGCTAGGACATAAACCTAATGTTTACACTGCCCCCTATCCTTCCATAACAATGCAACATTGTTATTATACCACAATTTTGAGAACGGCCGCCATCTTGAATTTTTTTTAATTCGCGAAAATCTGGTCTTGTAAGACGGCTGAAACAAATCAGCCGAAAGGTGGTGTAGCAAGTTGCATTGGACTCGTTTCTTTCAGCCATTTTACAATAGGGCAGATTTTCAGAATCTCATTTGTATTGGGGTAGTTAATTTCATATGTAGGGGGTTGAGTGATAGAGCAGACGGAATAACACGGTTTATTCCAGTCTGAACTTCGCCCCATTGAATCGCCCATCATGTAATGTAATGTATAATATCTGCATTGAATTAGTTATAAATTCAATGATATCTGTTCTTTGTATAATGTGTGCCCAATAAATGTCATTATTATTATTATTAAACTTTATGCTGAAACATGAGAAACTAGCTTTCTTCCAACAAAAGATCAATGCAGTAAGCATCTAACTTGTTATATTTGTGTTCAACGCAAAACTTCATTAGAAAAAGTTTTAGTGCCTTGGAAGAGCCATGCTACATTTTATACAGAACTTTAGAATTCCACCAAAAATACCAAATACATTCTGAACGATAAAGGGTAAATAAATCCGTTGTAGGTAGATTGTATTCTTTTAACCTGAAACACCATTACAGAAACTTAGATCAACCAAAGATCATACTAAGAAGTGTATCATTCAATAAATACCATATTTTAAACAATTAAGATTAAGGGACTATACGGAAACTCTACTGAGAACTAATAAATTTTTGTTTTTTTATCTTTTTTCATTTAAAATAAGTATTAGAAATGCTCTTTATAACTACAGCTACGTATTTATAGCGAGTTTAGATTATGAAATAAATTTCGAAATCGATACGCTTTAGAAAATGTTTCTACTATAAGCACTTCATTACAAACAACTTATTCCTTTAGCATTTGAAATACGAAAATTTTTTTGAGTGTAGGGTAGGGAAGTTTATATATGATAAACCGGGATCGGAGACAGTGCAGCTAATTCCTAATCTCGGCAATGTGGCAACCCTAAATGACACGTGTCCCACTGTTACATCAGTTTTTAACTACCACCCTGCTTGATGCAGTGTAGGTGAAGCTGAACTGTTGTATTGAGGGTCCCGGGTGCGGATATTTGTTAATGTAATGGGTGGAGTTGATAGAGCAGCCTTAGCTGAACCCCCCCCCCCCCACTTTAAAGGCAAAAATAAAAAACCAAACTTTGAGCCAGTTAAACAAATTTAAAGAAATAAAATACGAACATTTTTCAAAAGTTTGAAATGTATTAAGGAATTATTTTAGAATCGGACTTTAATAAATGTAAATTTACTCAATTTGAAATATAAACCAACAAAAACATGGCACCTATTTAAGATTTTTGCTTTTGTTCTTTTTTAAGCGCCTCTGCTGCTGCTTCTGATTTTTCAAAGTCTGAAATTAACGCCTCAACTTCTTTGCTAGACAGTATATGGGTATCGGTTTTGTTGTCACTACGAGTGAGTGTCGCCATTTCCACTACAATTACAAGTTAAACTATTAAATTTCTACCTTCACAGCAAACCTTTTTCCGATGTCAATTTAGTCATATCAAGAGTTTTACTCAAAACTTTGATAGCGAGAGCTTTAGCATCCTTGAGTGTCATTTCGCCTTCCTTATATTCTTGCTTTAAACTCGAGACTGCAGCCTGTCGATAAAATAATTTTATTTCTAATGATCTTACACAAAATAACATCCTCACCGCACTGTTATTACCGATGCATGTTGCTTTCCAGCCACTGTAATTGCCACTAGGATCAGATTGATATAGCTGATAACCATAATGTTTATCCCATCCCATATACAGAATAGAAACCCCAAAAGGACGTTTACCCCCATACTGCGTGTAGGCCTGCTTAACATCACAAAGCCACGAAACTAATTGTTCGCACGGTATAGATTCCCCATACTGAATTAGGTATCGTTGTCCGATTAAACGAAGTTCGTTAGTTAATACGTTTGCATCGGATGTAATTCCGGCAACACTACATACCATATCACTGTAAAAACAATCTGCTAGTTCCCATTACAGGATGCAGACTAATACATACTCATTTAACTTGTATATTTTTTCAGATGAGAATACCTCGTCCAGTAGTTTATTCGTGTTGCGGCGTTCTGCAGCTAAAAGAATACCGTCTGTAGCTAATATGCCCAAACAAGTTCCCGCATGACTAATAGCTTCCATAGCATATTCGACTTGGTACAGTCTGCCTGTAAGGTGTATTTTTAACACAATGGAAACATGGTTTGAATTGTTACCTTCGGGCGAGAAAATGGTCGTTCTCGTATCATATCTGCGAGCCTAAACAGAACAATTCAATTTGAGATGTAGGTATTTGTATTAAGCATGACAGTGCATCAAAAGGAATATAACCTCAAAACCTCAAGGTGTTACAAATTTATGAACGGTACGGTCTACTGGTACGCCAAATTAATGTAATATTGAGAAAAGCAAACTTATACGTTACCATTTTTATAGAAAAGTAGCACTAGTATTGTTCAAATTACTGCAAAACCGCTTGTTAATCAATACACAACCTCAAATTCCCCCTACCAACACAAACAATTACACTACACTGCACTGCTGACTGCTGTGCTGATTGGATGTACTTAAAAAAGTTGATAGATGTCGCTTTTGGTGTTACATCATAGGCGTAGACTAACGGAGGAATCACACAAGGTTTATCATATCAATTTAAAGTATGTTTGGCTGCATAACAATCAAATTATTAAAATATCCGACGATCGCTACAACTCTTCATTTTGAGTACCTCGGAATGATAGAGCAGAGAGCTTGATAGACATATTTAAAATTTCGGTTTATCAGATATTCTTTGCCATTCCAAATACGGTTCGAAATTAATATTCACATTGTTGTTATTTTGTCTATCCTTACGGTTAAAAAGCGACTTAGCCTACTCACCTATTCAAATGTCAATTTAACATCAGCTATAAAGAATAAAAATTGGGATTGATATGTAATGTGTAATGGTGTTAAGTTCTTAATTTGCTTTTAATTTGTACATGGAAATCTAGAAATTAACTGAATCTCAAAATTCAAAAAGCACATACCTACTTTTGGTCGCAAACATACAGCGTTTTTTGGTTCTGGAGAAACCTCGCCGTACGCCACTGCTTCGATCTGTGCAACTTAGCACTTTATTATTTAAATTAGAACGTTTTTGTAAGTTTTTTTAAAAAAACTTAACGATAAACTATGGAACAGTAAGGTGGCAATGATTTGCAAAAGGGAGAAGTATCGCCCTTCAACCGATACTCAAAATTTGAAGGTTAAATATGAATAATAAACGGTTCTTTGAACTTTGGATCTTTACAATTTAGATTTAGTTGTATCATTTGCTCCGGCTTACGGTATATAGGTACCAAAGTTCCAATTGTAATTTAATTTTAAGTGAAGCACCATTCAGTTTTAATGTCTCTTTCTACTAAGGGTAAGTAACAATTTGGAAATAAAAACAGTATAATACTTCCTTATTTCTAAAATAGATATGTGTTTGGTTGATTGCTGCCCAGGTTTATTTATTGAGCAGAGAGAGATTAAATTAAATTTAAATATTAGCGAATAGTAACTAATAATTATTATCTAAGTATTCTTTGAACAGAAATTCTCTGATTTATTATTGGTGCCCATTACAACATCTGCCAACGTAATGTATACAGAAAGGTAGGCAACTCATCAAACGTGCATATTTCAATTAAGTATACACGGTGGATTTTTATTCCTGTTTACGAGTGCGAAAGTTCCAAAATTGCCAATAAGGTCTATTGAACACCACTGTTTGAGGTAACTCATCATGTGGTTTTCAAAAAACCTACTGATATCGGTACGTATTTCATTTCGGCTGTTTTACGTCACTCACACACGAACGATAAAGAAATGGTACCAATTTTTGATATAAAATTTGAAATTGGTTTACGCACTAGTGACGTACATGTCATCTTTGGTGTGAGTATACACTGACATTAAAGGGCAAAATCTCTTTTGAAGGACGCCTAATTGTATGCAACTAAAATAACTTCTTAAAACAAATAAAGATCCGGCTGCCAGATTAATTAGATTGAATATTGTTGCTTGGGTGCACCTGTTACTGTTACCGGCACTATACCAATTGGCAATATCAACTTTTCTTCAGCTGAATACATCGCACACAAACGAAAATAAACATACGGAAACCAACGCAACTAATTAATGTAACGGACATCTTTATTTGTTTTAAGAAGTTATTTTGGTTGCATAAAATTAGGCGCTTTTCAGAAGAGATTTTGTCTTTTAAAAGTAGACATAGACACGTAAATCTCTACTTATGTCTATTTATTAATAAATATCACTGTGTATTAATCTGAAATAGGCTCGCGGCAGCGGATTGCTACAAAACAGGCGCGAAAATTTCAAACAAAGCTTGTAGCTATTTGAATCAAAATCGTTACTTGGTGCTCAATTTTGGTGGTAAAAAGTCTAAACGCAATATTCCAATGTCTATGCGCCTTTTGCCTTTTCGCCCTTGGATAGGTTTCTGTATTTTTTTTCACATTGATTATTATAGAGGTTATTAACACGTCTGTTTTGTTGTTCGTGTTGTGTCCTTTGAACTTCGCGATAGGTATATATTTGCGATGATAAACTTGCCTGTGTAAACATTTGAGAGATTGCCAGCGAAAGAGGTAACAAAATCGTTTACGTGATTTTTAATTCTTGTTTTATTATACCATGGTTCTTGTAAACTTTTTTTTAGCGGATTTGTGCAAATTTATTTGTAAAAAGGTAGCTGTTAATCTAACTTTAGGGACGGGGTTACAATATGTGGGGTCGGCGACATCTGGGCGTCATCCCCAACCGTGTGGAGATTTTCAGTTTTTTTCTATCTTCTACAGTTTTTCTCCGATTGTTTTCAAATAGGTGTCGTCGGAAAGATCTTGTTATTGTCAACCCGCACAACTCCTGCGTGGCGAAATTTTTTTTTCCTAGGGGCGAAATAAACCACCTTTACCACGGCGCGCTTCGAGGGGTAGTCGACTTTGGGCGCACAAAAGTTTTTTAAGCTCGAATCGCGGTTTCTCTTTCTCGTGAAACACAATTTGATTTGATTATATAGCAAACGCCCCCTCGTTCTCGAAAGATATCAAACGGTTCCGAACCCGACTATTCTAGCTAGAACAAAACACGTCATATTTCTCGGATAGATTACGTCACATCCACTGATGACTAATCTTTGATGGCGCCTCGATGTCTATCGAGATTTTTGGAATGTTCACTACAGGAATAAAATTACTTAATGACGTGTTCAAGATTTCTAATTTTCGTAATAAGAGTTACAGTTTAAATAAGAAGATTTCAAAAAAATCGAATGTGAACCCCGTCGATTTATTTTGGTCATTAAGTTTAGTTGAATAGGTACATTGACGATGTTAATGGGATAACGGAATTTTTCAAATTCATTCCGTAACAATCGCAGAGATTCGAGGACACACTCCGGATGAATTGATTTTTGTGAATTGATCGTAACCATGGATTCACGGTAATTATATTAGTCTCGAGTTCCTGGAGACGCGAAGTAATTTTGTGTATGCCGGTCTTATTTATTGCCATTTGTATGCGATACTAATGTTGTTTATTCTTATGGGAAGTGATTGTTATCTGCCACAATTTGATAAGCATATATTTAAATTAATCCTGTTTATACCTACTTAGTTGATTGTAATTATATGACTTATGCAACATATGCCATGAATGTGGGAGAATACCTATACAAACAAAAAAAGATATAGGTAACCAATGTTTATTCATTTACAATGATATAACTAAGCTTATTCTAGTATTTAGTTATAACATTTATTTATCTCTATAATAACAAAGTAGACATAAAATAAATGTTAGTCTAAAACAAACAATCGTCAAGGGTGTTACACAAGTTGGTATCCTTTGAGATGATGTCTAACGAGGACAACTTTTCAAAAAATGCACCACTCAAGTGTGAATTTTGCGATGTAAATTACCAATCTGCAGTCAACTGCGTCGGTTGTAATTTGGCGGTCCACAGCAAATGCTTTGAGCTAATATCCAAGCTTATCAAAGTTGATGAAATCAACTGGTTTTGCAAATCTTGTGTTCAAAAATGTAAATTGGAAGCAATGCATCGTAATGCGATAAAAACGGAAGGTGAGTGCACTATTGACTTAAGAAAGGTCTAAATTTGGTTTTTGTTTTGAATACATTAAAAGGTAATCTTTAATATTTTTGGAACGAAATACATTTTTATAATGATGTAATCAAAGAGGAAGTAATAAACGCAATTATCGTCGAGTAACGTTCCGTAGGGAGATTAAAACAGCTAGTAAACGGCGAAGGATAATCTAATTAAACGCGCTAGTATCTTTTGTTTTATTTTTTGTCAACACAGTTGTATATATTGCTAAATGAATTCTATTATATCATTGATTAGTTAAGAGTAAAGCAGAACCGCGGTTAATACAACAAAAATCGGAAGACTTATCAGAAACAACCCGACAAGTTTATCAAAAGGATGGAAGAGCAAAAGGTAACAGATATAGATGAACGAGTAGTGCTTGCTTACCTTCAGAAAATGTCGGAACAAAGTGTCGATTATGTAGGTTATCCAGTCAAATTGCAATGTATGTTGATGAGAATAAACAAAGGCATTCATGAAGGCAATTAGCAAGAATGATGTAGCCAAGAAGGCATATGTATTCCAGGAAGAGGACTTCCGAAAGTGTTTAGCTGATGCACCAGACATTATGGATTTATTTTTGAAGGTAGCCGTTTGCGGTATCTTTGGCTTTTGTAGAAGATGCGAATTGTGCGATTTACATTGTAGCATTTCAGTGTATTGCTACTTAATTTAAGTTAATTTTTTGGAGAAACAGCGAGATTTATATGCAATAAAACGTATATTTTGTTGCATACAAATCAGGATGTATTTTTATACTTGCTACGTTTTACGGTTTTCCCAATGTATACCAAATAGAATGTCATTGAAAGATAAAGGACTTGCCTGCTAAATGCCGTATCGACAAGACCAGCGCTCAGCGCAGATTTGCAATTAAATATTTGTCAAGAATAAAAAAAGAGAATTTGATTCGCTAAGGCCGTTAGCCGGCGAATGTAGTGTAAAGCCTCTTCTTCTGAAGGGGCATTTAGAAAGCGACTGGGCTTAACCTAATCTACTGCTACACCAAAAATACATATAACCGTAACTACCTGTTTTGGGTACCACAACTGTAAAAAAGTAATCACCCTTAAAGGACCAGTTCAGTTTAAACTTGTATTTGGTGAGTCGCGCAATTGATTACTGCGTACATACATAATCAAGAACAGCTATACCTACTTCCACTTCTGCAAATAAATTAGGTTTTATAATATCTTATTTTTTATCAAACATTGTACATTAATGCAGAGTACAGAGAATTTATTTAATGAGCACGCTGGAAGTGATTACCCAGGAGTGGGTACAACATGACATAAACTAAGAAGGAAACGTACTGCTTATTAATTATTATTATTCCACCATCTTAAGACGGCGAAGGCTCGATGTTTTACTGTTGCCGACAATCTAAGCAATTGTACCTAATTATGCGTGCGTTTGGTGAAGCAGTATTTATTAGTCCGCCCCGAAAATGTTAGGCATGACAATTGTTCAAATCCAACGACAAGTAGGATGGAAATCGGCGACTGGGTTAAAGAAAGTGTTATTATTATTATTTAACGAAAAGTGCAACCTCATTGACTTCCGAAAATGTTAGCACTATTTTTATAAACAGGTGTTAGTTACAAAGTACTCCTGTAAGATCAATCATTAAATAGTTGACATTTAACTTCGTTTCTCATGTTGTCATGGTAATTTTAAAACACGCGCGTTTTTAAAAGTTTGATTTAAACACGCCGAGGCGTATTTTAAATAATCAAAATGCGAGTCGCCTTTGGAAGTTCATGTTAAGGAGTACCTACGATTTTCCATGTAAACAAAGATTCCAAAGGTGACTCGACAGCAACTCATTTTTGATCGCATAGTACAAGAAAAACAGATTTGTATTATGTTATGAACGCCATTTTATTTCGTGCTTCGCGCGCCATTTGAAATAAGAATGACAGTTGTCATTAGAGTTCGCAATCATCTGTTTCATTTGATCTACCCTTGCGGTTAAAGTGATCACTTTATCTACCCTTACTGTTAAAGAGCGACTTAGCCTACTCATTCAAACCTAACAATTTAACATCTGCTATTAAATAAAAACAGAAAGAAATTTTTAAACATTACCATTGGAATAACCCCCTTCGTTGATTGTAGGTGTCGTAATTGTTGCTGCGAAGCGTACCGCTTTCGGCACATTTGGAGGCAAATTTGTAAATACCACAGCATGTGATCTTCAAGTAGCATCAAATAAAGCCGCAATGGCTGCTGCAAAGATAACACCGGAAATGATAGACACTGTGAATATTGGGAACATTCTCTCCGTGAGTATGGCTAAACGTTTTTGTTAACAATTAGGTGAGCCTTACTTTCCAATAGCATTCTTCGACAGATGGTGGATATATGGGAAGGCATTCGGCACTGAAATCTGGAATACCTATAGATCGACCTGCGCTGATGGTTAATCGATTATGCGGGTCTGGTTTCCAAGCCGTCGTCAATGGTGTACAGGTACTTTCATTTGTGTTGTTTCGACTAGTCGCTTCTATTGTTTTGAAAATTGAGTATAATAATAATGAAGGCGCCGCTGAGACGCATACGGCCAAAAGACTTTTACCTGGTTCACACATTAAACTTGGCATCAAGGGACGACATTTAATTTCTGTTATCTTTTGTAGGATATTCTATTAGGAGCAGCAAAAATTTCGTTAACAGGAGGTGCGGAGAGCATGTCCCAAGCACCCTTTGTAGTGCGTAATGTTCGCTTTGGTACACAGTTAGGCGTTAACTATAACTTCGAGGATACTTTATGGGCCGCTCTCAGCGACAGTTACTGCAAGTTACCGATGGGTTTAACAGCCGAAAAATTAGGAGCGCAAAATAATGTCACAAGAGAAGATGTGGATGAATTTTCTTTGAGATCTCAGATGCTTTGGAAAAAAGGTTTGTAATCTGTAATGAAGTCGATACAAAGATATCTTAATTGATTGGTTTTGTAATCATTTCGTAACATTAAATTTCAGCTCAGGAGGCGGGCGTATTTAAAGAGGAATTGGTACCAGTTCAGATCAAAGGTAAAAAAGGTCCCGAAAATGTCGAATGTGACGAACATCCTCGACCCAATACAACCATGGAAGGTTTGAAAAAATTACGGTCTTTGTTTAAGGAAAACGGCTTAGTTACTGCAGGAACTGCCTCCGTAAATAGCATTTTGGTAACAAACTAAAATTAATTATATTATTGCAGGGCGTTAGTGATGGTGCTGGTACTGTGATCGTAGCAAGTGATGCTGCTGCAGCTGAATATAATCTTAAACCTTTGGCCAGAATATTAGGATACTCAACTGTCGGGGTGGATCCATCAATAATGGGAGTCGGACCTGTTCCTGCCATCCAGAATGTTCTAAAAGTCTGTGGATTAACTTTGAATGACATCGATTTGGTGGAGGTAGACACTCTTAATTTTATGGTTGTTGATGGTCGTTTATGATCAATTCTTCAGATCAACGAAGCTTTCGCGGCTCAAACACTTGCGTGTGCTCGACAGTTGAATTTGGATATTAATAAACTCAATGTCAATGGCGGTGCAATTGCATTGGGTCATCCTTTGGCTGCATCAGGCGCTAGGATTACAACACATCTTGTTCATGAATTACGGTAAGTGTCTACTTAGGTACCTATGCAACATGTATTACGGCTACCTACATTGTGGGTCAAAACTCATATGAACGGTTGGTATAAAATTATCTTGCAATCTATCATTTTTTACTCTAGCATACCTACTACAACAAATTAACCTATTTTCTCATTGCAGACGAAGAAAGGCAAAGTATGGAATAGGTTCAGCATGCATTGGAGGTGGTCAAGGTATTGCTCTTCTTATTGAGGCTTTATATTAATTATATACATTTTTTCATTATTGTATTCTTCTATGCATTTGTAATTTTTTTCTACCTACTAATATTAAATAAAGATATAAGGTTTTAATTGAAATATATTATAGTGGGATATAGTACCAATTCACGTTCAACTAGAGTTGAGCTTGAGTGGATGAGAACATTTTATGCCTATTACTCCCATTTCCGCTTTCTTTTTGCCACCACCCACCTCTATCATCTCTTCGTCTATCACTTAGCTTTTATGAAACTTCCATTGCTCTTGCCTTTGAAAAATTTGCCTTCAACCAAGGAGGAGGCAATACATATATAGAGTAAATAAATAATAATAATGAAAAAGGATTTTATTTTCTTTCCCTTCTCGATCCTTTGGGGTATTGGAGTTTTTATGCCTCTAAAACATGCTTGAAACATAAAAAAACCAAAATAAAATTTTGAGGTCGGGTGGGGAGGGGGGGTAGAGGGTGAACACACGTTCTACCCTTCATGGCATTCTACTGAAAGGTCTCACCGAAACGAATTGGTTTTAACAAAGTAGAACTTTCCCGCGCGACTCCTTTTCGAGATGAGTAGGTGGCCGGGGGGAGGTGGTAGAAATGAATTTTATTTTTCATGGTACCTATTCTAATTAAAGGTCTCAACAAGAGGAACTGTTTTCTGTCGATTATCGCCAATCTTCCTGACTGCCTAGCAAAAGAGGGGGTTTGAGGGGATTGGAATTGTATTTATCCGTCATGGTACTCAATGAAAGGTCTCAACGAAAGGTATTAGTTTCTGCTAACCATCGCCCTCCTCCTCGACGCCTTATGGGGGGGGGGGGGTTCTCACAAAAGGTGACTGGGATATTTGAAAGAAATATATCTATTGGTCATTTCAAAACTTTAACACTTTAAAATTTAACTTTATGATTGTGTAAATAATTATGTTTAGCACTCTTGCGCAACCGCGATTTCACTTTCTCGGTATAGATGACACTCACTCGCTGCGCTCGCTCGTGTGTTCAAATCTAGAGCTCAAGAGTAAATAGGTGCCTTTGCTCACTTGTACTAAAAAAACTATTTCCCATCATCGTTTCACCGCCCATCCAAACAAATTATCGTAACTCCCTAGTCAGTGTTTATTTTATTGAATTTTGTTTTGACGTTTCCATATTTCCTTTTTCAAATATCCATTTAATACTGTGCGATCAAAAATGAGTTGCTGTCGAGTCACCTTTGGAACTTTTGTTTACATGGGAAATCGTATTTAACTTGAACTTCCAAAGGCGACTCGACAGCAACTCATTTTTGATCGCCCGTTATTAGAATTCAAAGCAATCATGAGCAAACCACTAACAAATATGAAAGTATTTGGTAAAATTGTTCACAGAAGGAAATGCTTCTATAAGTTAATTTATACAAAACAGAGTATTACATTATGAATTCTGTTTGAGGAAAGAACGTCCAAGAAGATAAGTACCTATAGGCAGAAAAACAAGTAAAAAGGTTTTCGCCATAGGGCGAGTTTAGCGCATTTTCCATGCATTGATCAGTACTCCCCAAAAGGCCAAAGCTATGTTTTTCTTTACTATAGAAGTATCTATGGCTAAAATTTCAAAGAAATGGCTATTGTGGGCATTGTGCATTCTGCGCATGCTCGCATGTGATTTTTACTATATGTGCCATATGTTTGCCATTACTAGAAGCATCGGTGGTTAAAATTCCAACAAGGTTGATATTGCACAATTTGCGCATGGCGCAAATTAATCGTCAAGATTTTTCTTGGCTCAGATGCCAGAGCTATACCCTAGCTAGAGCAAAGAGTAATTGATAAGTATTCTTTGACTATAGAAATGACTTCACTCAACGCTATAACTAAGCAACCGAATTCAAAAAGAACGAACTAAGTATATTGAAAACAATGAAAACTGTAGGAGAGTAGTTAAGGCCTCGGGCAGACAGAGAAAGTGGTTGCAATTAATGCGCTAAAAACTGGACCCCGACCTGACCTACACTTGCAACAAATGATCTCTGCAAGTCTGTTTTCAAGGTCTGGTGCGATATTTTTATCTGACAATAAATTGGGTAGGTACATTATGCGAATTTTACAGGTAAAAGTCAGTAGGCTCACTACGTTATTAATTTGTAGAAACTTCCCTGAAATTGATTCATAACCCATTTGTCAATGACACAATAAGGTCATTGCATATACTCCTGATTATTAGTTTATCATCAATGCTAATCTTATATGTGTTATTGTTTACCTACTAACTTTAGTTTAGATACAATCACGAGTGAAAGTTCAATAATTAAAAAAAGTTAATTGTCCTGGACATCCATAATATATATATGTCTTAAATTTTGTGGCAAAAATATTAAAGTTGTTGTTTCCAAGTCACCCTATGAAAGCAACAGACTTCACAGCTAAACAGATGCATAAAACAGATTTCTGGGTGTGCCAATACTATAATTATTGTAATTTAGAGGACATATCGCATACCTGTAAATAAAGGCTGTCCCGCACTTACACGCGGCGTGGCGAATCGCCTTGTTTTCGCTCACACAACACAACGCCGATACGCCACGCCGCGCTTCGCATTAAGTCTTTGCCTATTTAAATCAATATGAGCGAAACAGTCCGCCGCGCCGCGCAAGTGCTCGACGGCCTTAACTGAGATCTCTGGAATTCAGAAGTGCTAATCAGTTATGTATTAAAAACAACTTTATCAAAACGAGTTCACTTGAAAAATGTATAATATTTCCATCAGAAACCTGTTTCTCTAATTGCATTAAGAGTAGTTAAAATTTCAATTCTTCAGTTTCAGTTATAGGTCTCGGTGTATAAGTAAAATGGCAGGCATTGTTAAAGGTACGTAATATAAGTTTTAATTTTTAAGATCATGGGGAATCCTATTTCATATACCTAATGGAACATTGAGCTACGATAATGCTTTTTTAGGAATTGAATAAATAATGCGTGTTATAAATAATTTAAAAGAATTTACACAGGGTGTCCCCTGTCTGTTATTTTTTCCTTCTGCTGAAAGGCTAGGCATGGTCGGACTACAATAGTATACGTTTTGCATAATGTAGAATATCACATCTTGTATAGCATACTTGGCTTCTAAATGGTTTAACTTGTTGCTCGTATTCATCAAGGCAATGAGTTTACCCGTTTTACTAACGAAATTTGTGATTAAATCAACATTTTTCTTACGTCAAACGTTATTGTAAAATTTTTATAACTTTCATTCAATTATGTTAGTAAATTGAAAAACCACACTAAACCTTGGAATACTTGAAAAATCTTCTATTTACCGGGAAATGTACAATCACTGTATAATCGCTTCTAGAAACAAGTCAGTTACCAAACTTACATTTTTGAATAACACTTTTTTTGTCCATATCGTCCACTTTAAATTTAAAATAAACGTGTAAACAAATATAGAAAACGAGCTTCTGGGTATGGCTATAGCATGTGCAAAACTAAATTTTGAAACTGGGGTTAAATTTTATTTTATTCCAAGTGGCTATGTATCAAATTTCATTTAAATACCTTCATAAATAAGAAAGTTTGCAATTCGACTTATACATGGTCGAGATGCGAAGAGGGCACTGTGAATGTGGATCGATTAGGCTCAATTTTTGGAATTGCGTTTTATATGGCTAAACCTATGCGCATATTGAATTTCATGCAATTCAGTTCTTAACTAACGGAGATGTTAAAAGGGCCTTCTTTATTTTTTGGCCTACATTCCCAATTCACTGAACTCCAATCTACAAATTTAATAAAGAATCCACCTGCAAAATTTCATCGTAATCGGTCCATTTGCTTATGAGATATCGTGCTAACGGACGGACAGACACCGCAAAATTATAAACTCGCTAGGAGCTCGTAAATAAAGTGGACGATTGTAGTTTTCAGGTCTATAAGTAATGGTTTGAAAATGAAGAATGAATAATTCATATTTGGATTTATATCCTAACGTAAAACCATTGTATATACTAGGTGTGTTCAAAAAGTATCCTACCTTTGGTTGGCATACATATATGTTTATTGATTTGGAGGTCCGAAACTTTAATCCCCTTCGCCGAACAATATTTACACGTAGTATTGTTAAGTTTCTTCTTCTTTTGCTTACCTCCAAATTTCGCAACACTAATAACATCATTAGGTATAATTTGAGGTAGGAGCTACTAAGCTCATGTAAAATCAACGCTGACGAAATCATCTATTGTTTTACGCCCCTCGTAGATCAAAAATATGGCCTAATTGTTTTTTTATTCAAAGATTCTTCACAATAAAATATTCACTATAGTAATGACAAATAACCACCATAAATTTCAGTAGAATAATAAATTTGTGAAACGATTTTTTTATTTCCTGAAAACTAAAATCTTTGTTGATACGCCTTTCTCGCATGACGCCCTCGATATATTTTTTCCAAATGGATCAATTTCTGTAAGCTATTATTTAGCACATTCCCAAGATTAACCAAACGGATAGGTACCTACATAGAGGAAAATATACTATGTAACATATTATTAATCCTACAATTTCAGGTGTAGTAATAGTTGGTGCAAAACGTACCGTTGTTGGCTCCTTTGGAGGCAGACTCAAGGATCAATCCGCATGTGACTTACTAGTCACCTCAAACAAAGCAGCAATGGTAGCAGCCAACGTGCAACCGGAAATGATCGATACAGTGAATGTGGGAAACGTTCTAACTGTAAGCAAGTAAGCCTTAATAAAATTGCACCATCCATTAAAATAATTATTTGTACAGTACTCGTCGGCCGACGGTATCTTTTTGGCGCGACACGTTTCTATTAAATCCGGAATACCCATTGAGAAGCCAGCGCTTCAAGTTAATCGTTTATGTGGATCTGGATTTCAAGCGGTGATCAATGGAGTACATGTAAAATGAAATTGGTATCTACCTACAAACAGATGGCTACACTTATAATTTGTAGGATGTCTTGAACGGGTCTGCAAAGGTTTCATTGACAGGTGGCACTGAAAATATGTCTCAAGCTCCATTTATAATTCGGAACATACGCTTTGGTACACAACTAGGGGTTAGTTATCCAGCTGAAGATTCGCTGTGGGTTGGATTAACCGACACCTACTGTAATCTATCTATGGCAATGACTGCTGAAAAGCTAGGATCGCAATGTAACATAAGTAAAGAGGACGCAAATGAGTTCGCTTTAAGATCACAAATGAGTTGGAAAGCAGGTACGTCTCTTTGAACCACATAGTGGAACATTGCTATCACTGACATCCACAGCATACGAAAACGGAAGATTTAAAGAAGAATTGGTTCCCATTGAGGTAAAAGGTAAAAAAGGGCCCGAGGTAATTGCCATTGATGAACATCCAAAACCGCATACCACAATGGAGGGATTAAAAAAATTGAAGGCTGTATTTAAAGAGAATGGTTTGGTTACGGCCGGAACAGCTTCGGTATCGCTCACAATCAAAAAGTCACATTTAGACAAAGCATTTTAGGGAATCAACGACGGTGCAGGAACCATAATAGTAGCGAGTGAGAAGGCTGCATCTGAATACAACCTAAAACCTTTAGCAAGAATTGTGGCATACTCAACAGTCGGAGTTGATCCCTCAATTATGGGGATAGGACCGGTACCTGCAATAGAAAAGGTTTTAAGTGTATCTGGACTAACAATGGATCAAATGGATCTAATTGAGGTAACATTTGATTCAAGCCTTTTAAAAACATTCATTACTCTGTTAGATTAACGAGGCCTTCGCCGCGCAGGCGCTGGCATGCGCTCGTCTACTCAAATTGGACATGAAGAAGTTTAACGTGGACGGTGGAGGGGTCGCCTTAGGTCATCCTTTAGCAGCGTCAGGCGCGAGAATAACTGCTCATCTGGTTTACGAGCTAAGGTAATACTTAAATCGCACTCATGTGTTAATCATCTAAATGGTGAATATTTCAGGAGAAGAAAATTGAGATACGGAATTGGTTCGGCGTGTATCGGAGGTGGGCAGGGCATTGCCTTGTTAATTGAAGCACTGCATTAGATGCGTTCTATCATACCCGCTCTTTGAAATGATTTTGACAAATGTTTACAACGAATTTATAATAAAAATCTATACGAAAAACATTTTGTTATTGTGTGCCATTGTAAGGTGAATTGAAACTTGAACTCAGGCTCTTGGAAAACCATAAAGTTCAACAGGCAGTTGATGCAAAATACCCCCTAATCACAAGAGAGGTACACAGTATTTGTATTGACAAACTCCACAACTCACCGTTGAGTGAAATCGTTATTCAATGAATAATGAACGTTTTGCACCTTTGACCTCAACACTTTCGTGGTATCAATTTATTTTAAATGCGAGCACGTTAATCCAATAATGTAATGACCGGTGAATATATTCCGTACGTATTAAAAATACAACATCGCAATGTATTTACAGTTGAACATAAATCCCTAGTCTATTAATTTTCACTACAAAAGCAAGTTCCCTTGCATAAAAAAGACGCCTTTTATTATTGGTTTTGTTCGAAATAGTAGCTCACACTGAATTGATAAAGTACTCACACAACAATAAATCGGTCCAAAATGGTGGCACAATTTTCAGGTTGCGCGGCTTACAATTCTTTTATATACTGCTTTTGGTTCGAACTTTCAATTGAAAACGAATCTTCACGCAATCTCAAAAGGGACTCGCACCACTCATATTGTTCGTTTTGAAAGCTTCGCGAAAAATTTCGTGTTACGCGACATAAACATTTCCGCGCTTAAGTGACGTAGTTTTGACTTGAAAGTTTGGCTAAGAAGGCCTTTTTCCCTCCCAATCTTTACTTATGTACTTGTTGAGTACGAATGATGAAAGGAACCCTTCGAAAACCAAGCGTTCGTTCTCGTTTGTATACATGTGAAAATATAGTAGAACTATCGTCCCTCACCTCATGCTCCGTTACGAAATCACGACGATTTTTAGAACCGGCGTTTCGACTCTTATCTGCTTAAACATACTCGTTGTTATCTTAACGCGCTTTATTTTCTCGCATATTAGTTCAGTTCTGTTCTCTTTGCTTATGAAGCCGTACACGTGTAAAATTTCCTATACTGACAAATTTGTAAATTTAACAAAAAAATCTTTGAAATCTACAGTGACCAACTGTTACAACTATAAATCGCGATGTAAAAAACGATCAATATCACACAAAACTAATGCGACGAACTTTGCCAATCAGTCCACCACAACCGACCGGTCCCAACTAAACTGTACAGACGTAAAAAATGCAAACGCTGTAACTACAATGTGGTAAACACGGTGCGACAATCTCACAATCAAAACCAAAATTGATCGGTTGGATACCACTTTAAAAATGGAGAAAAGCAGAAAACTAAATAGAAAGAAGCCCCTTCTAAATAATATAAGCGTTTACCTTTTACACACCTCCACGAAATCGGGAAATGGTATACGGAAAACTCAAGCAGCCCGCGTATTCCTTGCGGAATCGTCGATATCTACGTAAACTGCATGACCTCGACTGGTTTTAAGCTCCTTTTAAATTAACATAGGAAACAAAAACATGCTAATAAAGTGGCTACAATTCTAAAATATTCATTTGCCTTCGTCCTATAAATGAAAGCGCTTTCGGGCGCTACACAGACAATTGAAATGTCTTGACGGGAACGGTTGTACACGGAAGATTACTTACAGCTTTCGTTTACACAAAGTGGTAACCAGATCATCTGGAAAGTAGGTGCTTCGTCACACCTCAAAAACAAGAAACCGAAAGTGACTGGCAATTGTTTTTAGCGCATTTTTGCAAATTTATTTGTAAAAAGTAGCTTTTAATCTCACTTTGGCTGGCTGGCATCTAACTGATGGTGGAGAAAAATCTTCAAACGCGAATTGCGGGTGAACGGGACGTCGGAAGTGGGTACCGTCAAAGGGAATGTGGTAGCTCCCGACATGATCTTACTGATGGTGGAGTTAAATCTTCAAACGCGAATTGCGGGTGAACGGGACATCGGAAGTGGGTACCGTCAAAGGGAATGTGGTATCCTTCGACAAGATCTTTTATTCATGGTTGAGTCAAAAGTGGCTAATAGAATACTGATCTGCCACACAAAAATGCGCTGAAGTCCCTTCGATCTCACACGAAGACTTTGATAATTTTTTTTTCTTAAAATATGCATTTTTTAATCTTATCATTGATAGAAATTTTTATCTGAAGACAATTTAAAATAAGATTCTGGATAGTAATTTCGTTATCACCTGGTATACTTATTTTACAATACAAAATTGTAGCTTTCGAATGGACAAAGAATTTTCAGAGAAGATTTTTAGGAGATGATTCTAATGGTTCTCAAAGATCTGTAGGTTCTAAATATCCAAAAAGTTCTACATGGTTTTCTATCTGGATTCTAAGAACATTTTAAAAGAATCTTAGAAGATAGAATTCTAAAAACTTCTAAGAACATTCTAAGATCCAAACAAAATTTTAGTGCTTAGTTATAAAAATTCTAAGAAGACAGTTTTATGGAGAAGATTGCAGGGAGGGTTCCAGCCCTTATTTAATAATGAAGAACGCACTGTAATCATTTCCTCGGGAGAGGACAATTGCGTCAACAGTTCAAGTGTGCCTACCCTCCACGATGGTGAACCCCCCCATCCTGGGGGTGAGAAAAAAGGTGATTTTTGACCATAAACATAACATGAAAACATTAAATTACAAAGTTGGTTTTCAGAAATTTGAAAAAGTTCTGAAAGTTTTTCAAATTCCAAAGTGCTAAAATATTCTAGAATGATTCCCAATAAATCAAATAAAATTTGGAAAAGATTCTCAGAAAATTTCATTTAGTTCCCAAGAGAATTTTTGTAAGATTCTACTAACATCTTAAGGGTTCTAAAAGTCTTGAAGATACATTGCTACGCATATATTCTAACAAAGGGTTCTAAGAAGATAGTAAGAAGATTCTAAACTGATTCTAAGAAGATTTTACTAAGACTCTGAAACAAATCCAAGGATTCTTATAGGTTCTTGAAGATTCTAAAAAGCTCCTTACGAGATTCTAAAAATTGTCCTAAAGATACTAAAGAGGCTTTGACGAGATTCCGAGAAGATGGTTCCAAGAAGATTGTGAAAACGTTCTACGATGATTATAACAGTTCTGACGATTTTAAAAGCTCCAAAAGTCCAAACCTTCTAAACTATAGCATAACAAAAATCCTTATCTATACATTTACCCTTACCACACCAACAATTTCAAGTTACATAATACAAATTTATGTTTATTGTATTGCTATAACTACAAATTATTAGTACCTTATATACTCAAAGAACTATGAAAGAGCTTGTTGTTACGCAGCAGTTTCAACTTGTGGAGGTGCCAGTGACTGATACAATTTAGAAACTGCAGTTTGCACAATTTGCTGGAAAGTTTCATCGGATGGGCATACCACTTCCTGTAAATCAACAGATGCAATTAATTGATTAAGAAAACTTATTAAAACTGTCAACTTCATACAAAAAATGATGATATGTGGCATAAAAATCTTTTAAACCCAAAAACTAAAAAAATTATGTCTCAAAGTCAGCTTTTGTATTTCTTGCAACATCAAAATAAACTTACCAAATTTAAAAGATCAATATCTGCACGTTTTTCGTTGACAACAACGTACAACTTTTCACCTTTAAACATTTTGGGCACTGAATCTTCGCCAAACATGTCTTGTAGCATTTCTATTAAACATTCCTACAAAATGAATATTGTCAATCAGGCACTTCCCAACAGTCTCTGTACCGAGATCTCAGATGCACGTATGCTGAGAACAGCCTACCTTAAAATGCATCCTATCCACCTTGGCACTGGTCGTCATACTCTTAGTCGGGGCGTCTAATGATTCTGCTTGTAAAACAGCAGCAACAATGGCATCCGCATACATATCATTAACAGGATTTGCCACCCACTACAATTTAATTAATTACAAAATTTGTAAATCGAAATTCAAATAACCTCCAAAGTTACGATTTTATTTTCTATGGTTATATCAACAGCGTTAAATGCTCTCATTTTTCTATCGCCCTCAATGGTTTCCAACAGACCAGCCACCTGAGTAACCAGATAACGTAAAACACTAATGGATCCGGAATAATGAAGGCTCTGGCGTTGCATAACTTGACTCATTGACATGTCAGTATACTCTACAATATTAAACTCGCTATACGAAAGACTCGGTGTTCGAGTACTTACTAGATAAATCATCTGCGGCAAGAATGTGATAATTAAAGTTGCGTTTAACTAGTATGCCCGACAAAACATTTCCTGGTTTCGGTTGTTCGACAGCAAGAGATCCCATGACTTTTGCAGTTTTCTCGCCTCTAAAATAGAGTTCAACTGCGTGAGTATTTCTCGGGTTATGCAGCTGCATTGTAGTGTTTGGATCGTCTTCGTACTCCCTCTGTAAGGCAGCCTTTAGACGGCTCATTTCATTCTGTTCGCCGTGCACTAACACCTAACCGAATGGCGATTAAAACTAAGATTTTCGTTCAGTGACACTTACAACATGAGGTGGTTTTAAGATTCGTATAAACTCGCTGGTCTGTTGATAGTCTGTGTGCGCGGAAAATGAAATGTAATCTACTGACATTTTTAGTGGTAGTTTTTGACCAACCATTGTAACGATTTCTTCAGGTTCGGAGAGTATCGCTTTGGCTAATGTTCCCTCAACACAGTAACCTGTAAGAATTATTTCAAAAAGTTCGTTACTAACATTTGCAACGGGTTTATAGTGTTTATACTCTTAGTTATTAATTGATATTGTACAAGTTTGATATGAACATCATAAGTAAGCCAAGTTGTTTAAGTAACACAAGTTTAATCGCGTGAATCACGTGGAAAAATTCAAAAGCACATTTTCCATGAATGATCAGTACTTCCCAAAAGGCCATCGTTATGTGCGCTATGATTTTCTTTACTAGAGGCATATATGGTTAAAATTTCAAAGAAATATCTTGATAAATAAAGAAGTTCCCACTGACTGCGCATGCGCAGATCTAATTTTTGCAATATCTGTTATGTTTAACAGAAGCATCTGTGATTAAAATTTCAAAAGGATATCTCGATAAATAAGAAAGTCGCCTGCATGCGCACAACTGATTTTTACTGTAGGTATGCGACATATGTGCCTTCACCAGAAGTATCTGTGGTTAAAATTTCAACAAAACATATTAATAAATAAGGAAGTTGCCATTGCGCACTCTGCGCATGCGCAGTTTAATTGTCAAGATTTTCCTTGGCTCAAGTGCTAGATCTATACGCTACCGAATGCAAAAAGAACGAACTTAATATCTTGAAAACTGTAAGAATAGTTAACGCCTCGGGCAGACGGACGGACAGAGAAAGTGGCTGCAATAGCGCACCAAACTTCGTTGGAAAATGCGATATCGAGATGCTGTTTTCGCGAGTTTGTTTAGGCATCATTTAGCTACTTTTTCATGAAAAAAAATCATACCAATGCATTTAATCTTTTTGAGAAAATTAACCATTTCTGTCGGAATGTCGAAAAAAGCCCTCAAGCGGTGATATGTGAAACTAACAAAACTTCAAATAGTATAATATTTGTAGCTGAAGAATAGCTTTTTAGAACTAACCCGAGTTTGTTTAAATCGGCTCAGCCGTTTCGAAGATACAGGGTGTTCATCAACATTTTCTTTTTTTGTGGGCATTTATGAATGATATCAGTAGAAATCTCTAGAGCCATTCATATTACCATATATTATTTTTTCTAACAGAATAATCAGGCGAGGTAATATTACATCCAACCAGTCATTAGAGTCCCGAATCAATATTTAGTGTCTGCACGTGATATTGAAATAATAAAAAGATCAGAAGACAGTATTTAAATACAGTTCAATCTCTTTAATCCCAATAATTAAATGCAAGAGGTGTATCCGAATTAGTGAATTGTCTGGATTATTGAATAGTAGGCTAAACTAGTGTGACTGGACAAGGTTATTTTATATGTTCAAATAATTTTTTTATTGAAAAACAGCATAAATTCTAATTAATGAAACATGTAATAACCAAACATTAATCTACATAAATAAAATGCATGTATGGGCATATGAAGAAAACTTCATTGTGACATTGGCATATCCGGATTACTGGATGTCCGGAATAAAGAGGTTGCACTGTACGAGCACTGTATCAGGCTAAATGCTAAAATTGGAAAGGAAATAGACAAGTTGAGTTAACAACAAAAACGTAGCAACACTCCAAAAAATGTTTGTGTAAAAGTGTTACAGATAAACAATGGAGGAGAATGGAAAGAGGTAAGCAATACAAGATATGGAAAAGAAGAGCATAAGAAATAAGCAGAACTGAACAATAGAAACAATAGAAAAAAAGTAGATACAAATTAACAAAAGTATCATTAAAAAAATAAATAGAAACCCAACACTGCACTTTTAATATTTGCAAATTTTGTATTGCCAATCAAGTTTCTCCTTACCTGCAATTATTACACCATTCTTTGCATCTGTACACCACGACTCGAATAGTTCGCGTGACAGTCCACTTTGCATCATACCAGGGGACGCCATCACCACACAAGGCCCGATATCATCAAAATGATCAATACCCTATAAAAAATTGCCAATACAGACGTCGATATACAATAATCTCACCTTTAAATTTGATATGTGTTTAAAAACAAAAGGATTATTAATCGCTATTTGTCTTCGAATTTTTTCATTCATAGCGTTAATGTACGTTTGATAAACTGCCATACATTTTTTTGCCAATGATGAGGCGTAGTAAATTGGAATGTCATGTAATTCTGGATGCTGACTCCAATATTCATCTGTAAGGCCACTATCTACATTTTTGAAACTTGAAAGAATTCTGTTACCTACCTAGTATCAACAAAAGTTCCTGTGCACGACCCAAAGCAAACACCGGAATGAGACAACGTCCACCTCTCATTACTATGTCATGGACAAGATTTGTAAACCTACTTTCACGTTCTTCACGTTTTTCATGGATATGAGTTCCATAGGTAGATTCCTACAAAGCTCATTAAAAATTATGATACTAAACATGCAAATTTACCGTGATTAATACGTCTGGTTTCACAGTAGGTATTTCGGCTGCCATTAAATGTCGATCCTCTTGCCTTGAAAAATCTCCAGTATATAGGATCTTAAATAAACAGCTTAACATCACAATACTTGTCATAAAATATAAACAACCTTAACGCCGGCAATTTCCAGCATAAACATGGCAGCGCCAAGTACATGTCCAGCATTGTAAGCCCAAAATTTAACCCCCAATACATCCTTCTCTTCGTGAAAGTTTATGGTTTCAATTTTATCCATACTCGCCTCCAAATCTGATTCTGTATATAACATCTGCTCCGTAGCTATGTTGCTATAATCAAATTTACAATGACTATTAGATGAAAATCCAAGAGAAGTCTATCAAATTTGGATATAGACCAATTTCAAGAAATAGTGATTCATCATATAGTTCATACTGCATACCTCACTTTAATGTAATCCGACAATAACCATCTGTAAATGGCTTTTGTTGCATGGGTCATAAAACAGCGACCTTTAAAGCTCGTCTTTTGCAAAAACCACGGCAGAGCGCCACAATGATCCAAGTGAAAACTATAAAAAATCGAATAACTTACTAAGAAGCACATTTAAATACATACTGAGAGATAAGTAAGAGATCTATCTCGTCTGCTTCAATTAAGTCGACAAACGGTAATGCATCCATTCCAGTTAGACCAGGATGAATGCCACAATCGAGCTGTAAGTTGTACGTTATTGCAATTGTTCATTTATTACAACCGAGATTACAACTTACCATTATCTTTTTTCCTTTAAACTCAATCATGATGCAAGATCTGCCCACTTCTTGCCCAGCTCCCCTAAAATGTGGAAGTTAAAATTATAAAAGTATAGTAATTATTAAACTTACAGCGGTCTGATAACTAACAAGTCACTTTCTTCCGCAGGAACTTGCGTTTCAGGCTTTCGTTTCGTAGCCATTGTTAGGATTGTTTCCTTCAGATTTACTCCAATTTTACTTGCTCATGTAATTTTAATTATTAATGAAGAAACAAAACCATTTTTGTATGGCCAAAATATGTCCCGGCTCAAAATGATGAAACATAACCAAACAAAACAAACATGAACAAGCGTCAGACGTCATACTGTCTGAAGTGAGCCACCGCTGGAAGTGGTTCTGTTACATACTTTTTCAATTGCAATAAAGGAAGCAAAGATAATACCATGCGATCAAAAATGAGTTGCTGTCGAGTCGCCTTTGGAATTTTTGTTTACAAGGGAAATCGTACTTAACTTGAACTTCCAAAGGCGACTCGACAGCAACTCATTTTTGATCGCCCGTTATGTAGTTTGCGACCAAGGACTTCTTCTACGCATTCACATCTTCACAAACAATTAATTTTACAACACAATTTGATATTAATTTGACGGCTGGTTATTTTATTGGTAAGTTCCTTTTTTCCCAGCCTATTTCTATTTTTATTCGGTGAACTACCATTTTCAAAGTTTATTTTTGCAATGTAAGTTATTTCGACTTATAGCGTTTTCGATTGGCAAAACTCGTGCTGCACGAGTGCAATTTTTACGTTCTATTGGTAATTTTAGGGCAATTTTCTGTGTTCCATTGGCAAATGTGATGCAACAATTACTGCAAATTTCAACGCACGGAGGTCCGAGAGCTCGTGGAGCTGCTAGTTAACAAATTTTTTATCGGATTTATGGCTCAGTGGTAAGAGCATTGGGTTATAAATCCGAAGGTCGGGTGTTCGAACCTGGGTTGAGATGAATTTTTCATCTGTGGCGGAGATGGAAATTACCTTAGGCCAGTTCCGAGCATTCTACCGGCTACTCCGAATTAGGTTCTCCTGCAGTTTTCCTAATTCGTAAGGTAAATACCGGAGTAGTATAGACCATCTTAAGACCTTCTGCAGAGGCACCTCTAAATAGCATTATGCGGGTCACTCTGTAATTGGGCGGCATGCCTGTTGAGGGCCCAAAACAAGAGAGGGATAATAATAATAATAATAATAATAATAAATTTTCAAAACAAACGTCCGACAATTTGAATTTCTTCTTGCGTTGGGAGAGTTTTTTGTCGTCATCTAGCGATAGCGAAGATGATGAACTAGCCATAACTTCTATTTTACAAAAAGTTGCAGTTACTCATTAAACTGAACGTCAAAAATTGGTCCGTTACAGGAATTTCAAATTTGTATTCCTCATCGTTTATCATAAATAATACTGAAATCGTTTGTCATTTTGAATAGAGATTTGTCGATTACCTAAATCTAAAATGAGGTTATGGACAAATATCAACAAATATTTATGTTCCATTGAGAGCAATTTTCACATGAATTTCTTCAGTTTCTCGTGCAACACTCGTGCAGTACGAGTTTTGCCAATCGAAAACGCTATTAAATTTCCGAGCTTTTACAATCATAATAATTGCCATCATTATTAAACAAATTTTTCACAGTTTCAGTGTTTTTTATGTTCCTTCCCTACTGTGCTTCAGGTCAAAGCGTTGTCTATAACCAAAGGGTACTCTTTGCTACAACAAACGTAAGGGGGCCCTGCCTTAAACGTTTGATCACGTGCCACTTTTCAAATTCAAGCGGGAACTTGTTTAGTTTTGGAGGGAATAGTCATTCGGGTGGTCATTTTGTTTAAAAGTTGCCGGGTTGACTTTATTTCCGTGTTCTTGCAGTGTGAAGTTAGTGTAGAACCTGGGGGTTAAGATGCTACAATGTCATAAATTGTTATTGGACGTCCAGGACTCCTGAGTAACATGCCTCCATACTGCTACATTGTAGTGTGATTTAAGATAGTATCAGACACATCTACTTTTGTTGCGCAGCACATTAAAAAACTGCGCAACTTTAACTGCAGCAAGTGCAACCTGCAAAGTTGCGATCGCACCCTGGTTGCGTGCAGTAACTTTTTGTTGCACGCAGTTAAAGATGTAGCCATGTGTGAACAGCTATTTCTGAATGTTGCAAGCGCAGCAAAAGTTATTAAATAAATTGAAACTTTTACTGTGGCTGCCGGTGCAGTATTCTGTATTCAGCATCTATATTTAATGTGCGAACAAACCATCAAAAGGACATTTTTAAAAGGCAACTCTTCTTGATCGCACAATTCAGTAATTAAATTAAAAGCGTTCAACTGTTCACGCCTCTTTACCCACTCTCTTTGTTTTTTTTCTTTTGCCGCTTTTATGTCTCCAACAAAGTTTGTTATTTATGGGAAAGTGTGCGCGCAGATGCGAGCCATCATGAACCACTTCCCTAACGAAAATCAGGTAGCTGCTCGTTAAACGTGTTACCATAGTAACAATGTTTATTAGTTGGTAGTAGTTAAAAGTACCCATGGAAATAGCGAGTGCGAGCGATGCACCACCCCGCCTCAAATCGCTTATATGTATATAATAGAAATGGAGATTTTTTTTGAAATTCTATCATTATTCAAATTCCATTATGTATTCCTACAATGCACACAAGTTTGTGTGAGTAATTACAATTTCCAGCCTTAACTTTCGACCAATAAACTACATCTTATACGTTTGTAATTGCATTTGAGTTATTAAGGTACGTTTCCTATGAAGCGTCTGACGCGGTGTGGCATTTACGCATATAACAGGTGCCGGCCGCCGCATGCAGGTTAGAACATGCTTTCTATTGAGGCGGTGCATTGCGTCAGCCGCACCGCGTCAGACGCACGCGTCAAACGCTTCATAGGAAACGTACCTTTAGTCAACTCATCTGTAACACAAAATTGAAATGAAATATAATCGGTAATAGATTTTTTATTGTATATCAATATTGTTATGCGCTTACTCTATAAAATAACTAAACGTATAAATACCTAGGTAACTCGTTTTGCTACAACTTGGTCTGTCGAACGGAAATATCTTAACAAATTTCTATAGAGAGTAACAATTGCAATAATAAATACTTTGTGCATCTAAATTACCTGTCTGGGCATTTTTGTCATATACAATTTGAAATAGCGAGCTATCTAATTTCCTTGGAAAATCTAAAATCCGAAATAATACTATTTTACAATAAACCGTTAAGATAATTGCAACGTCGCGATTTTGAAATGTCAACACAAAATCAGTTTTATATACTTCTTTACGGACAAGTAAGGCAGAAATTATAACAACCGACTTCGCAAAACATGCACAAATATTGCTGTCAAATGTGAAGTGCAAACGGAATGTACATTATAACTGAGTGAATAAGTCACTTATCATCAGAAATGATTGCACTGTGCAAATAAAACGATCTTTGACTCCTTTTCACTATAGCTAAGCACAGGAACACATGCGTATAGATATTACTATTCCGATCACTCAATTGTTAACGTGAATGTATTGCGGAAAAATGCTTATGGCACTAATACATTTTAGCATTTAAATATAGGTACTTTAACAAAGAACACTTTGCCAGTAACCGGTAAATTTGTATTCAAAGTCAAAATGTATGTGGGCTACAAAACTTTTAGACAAAAATTACGTATAGAAGCCGTTTTGGAGTAGCTAACAATTATGTTTTTACTACTCACTTAAACAGGTGCATGCAGCTTCAAATACATTGTTTAATACCGATTGTTTTGTACGCCATACACACTTTGGTATCCAACAACTTACGGAGTTTTCATTCACCTGTGTACATTTTAAGAAACTCTTTTTCAGACTTTTACGAATATTTGCATTCATTAGAGTGTAATTCGGAACTCCTCACCTTTCCCGATACGAAGTGTCTCAAAAAATAAAGCAATGAAAAGTTTTTTAGAATATGCAAAAATATAAATGGAGTCATTCTCGAGACCTCAGTGAATACATTGCTGTTTTTTGAGCGCGTTATTTTATTATAAACCATGAAAATTTAGAAACTGCACACCAGCTCCTGTTCTGCAGTATAAAAAAGGTTCATAATACAATAACATCCTAAAAACACACATTTATAAAACAATGGTAATAATAGATACATTTCTACTCTTACATTTTACTTTGGTTGAACACATTTTTGGCAGAGCTTCGCAGTAAAAGTCAAGTGTCATTTGCATTAGATTAATGAAGCACTTAGTCCAGTTCGGATAAAGAAAGTTAAAAGACGGTTGTAAAACTGAATAGTAAGTAGGCAGTGACTCATTTGCATACACTCCAATGGCCGAGAGGGCTAAGACTGAACCTGTGCGTGATACAGTCCAGTCTTAAATATAAGGAAAAAACAGAATGACCATCATCCAATACAAGTGACACTATAAGCCCTGTGTTACGTGTAAATAATATTAAAAAAGAGTCAGATTAGTATTTTAATTAGTTGACGAGCTGTTCATATATTAAATAAATATTTCGATGTCTTTGTCTACTATTTTAAATGTAGTTAATTACAATATTATTATGTTACATATTACAAACAAATTTCAACAGTAATTCTACGTTTGCGTTTATACACTGATACAATAAGCTGACAATAACTCTCAACTTGTCTTAGTATTAATGCTATAGTTATCTTAAATCTGCACGATATGTATACTTCGAACATATTCCAAACAGATATTTTGTATTGTGCAAATAATTTCAACTTGCATGTAAGTTCAAACAACACTGATAACTAATTACATCTCCCTATGGGTTTCACTATGTATGGTGGATTTTGGTAAGTTACACCTTAAATAGATTTAAAAATCGGTAGAGCAATATGTACCTGCATGTCGGATATTTTTATAAAGCTGGCAATCATTTTTAATCTCCCTGTACATGAAAGTATGAAGTACACAAGGTTCTCATGGAAGTCGATTAAAAGTTTTTGTGGATTGAAAACCCTAGAATTCTGAATTTTTGTCCAGTGTTATAGCGTTTTCGATTGACAAAACTCGTGCTGCACGAGTGCAATTTTTACGTTTTATTGGTAATTTTAGGGCAATTTTCTGTGTTCCATTGGCAAATGTGATGCAACAATTACGCACTCAGTGCAAATTTCGACGCACGAGGTCCGAGAGCTTGTGGAGCTGCTAGTTAACAAATTTTCAAAACAAACGTGCGACAATTTGAATTTGTTTCTTGCATTGGAGATTTTTTTGTCGTCATCTTGCGATAGCGAAGATGGTGAAATAGCCATAACTTCTATTTTACAAAAAGTTGCACTTACTCATTAAACTGAACGTCAAAAATTGGTCCTTTACATGAATTTCAAATTTATCTTCCTCTCGTTTATCATAAATAATACTGAAATCGTTTCAGTCATTTTTTAGCATAGAGATTTGTCAATTACCTAAATCTAAAATGAGGTTATGGACAAATGAAAACAAATATTTACGAACATTTATGTTCCATTGAGAGCAATTTTCACATGGATTTTTTCAGTTTTTCGTGTAACACTCGTGCAGTACGAGTTTTGCCAATCGAAAACGCTATTAGTCAAGATTCTCTTACACTTTAAAATATTCAACTTCTGGCAACACTAGAAGTATTTTAAATAGGAACACAGATATTTTCATTTGATTTTTGGAGAAAATTTGATGTCAGACTTCCCTATACCTATTCTCAACTGTAGATATTTTTTTTTAATTTCGAAAAATACAACGCGCCTTTTATTCATTTTCAACTTGTTGTAAACGCTTCTGAGGTAGGCGAAGCATAATAAAGGATAAGGGTGCTTGACAAAACATTTCATCCTTGTCAGTATTGAAAAAGTTCGTTTTTTCAACGGTCACTCGCTGTGTATTATTTGATGCAAAATTTTATTACGCATCGATGCGCTATAACTGCCCCTAATGATTTTCTAGTATTTTTTTTGTTTTCACCAACGTTGCCTCCGTTTCATTAAAATCTCATTAAAATATGAAACACGGATTAACAACAAAACCTTTACACGTAGATATAGACCAAATTAAAGCTAATTGATTCTGCATCTGATAATCAATAATATACAGGGTGTCACAGTTGAAAAAACGAACTTTTTCAATCTTGACAATGATTAAATTGGTCATTATACTTTGAACATCTTGCGATAAACGAATTGTCAAAATGGATAAGAGGCGCATTGTGGAAACTTGAAACATTTTCTCAGGAATCCAAAAAAGGAATAACTGAGTATTTAAATTTAAAATAAGGACGTCAGTGGCAACTTCGTATGATAAAAATATTGATAGAGAAACTTGAATAACCTTGAGCTTCTAACGAACGGCTACCAGGAAAATCCCTGTATTTACAACAAATCTTGAAAACTTTGGCAGCAAATACACAAACAGTAAATCACTTTTATGACATAACTGTTTGGTGACAAAAATATAAGCAGTGCCATTAAAAAACTCCACAAATTTCAATATATTTTAAAAAATTAAAATTAAGTTTATTATCAAAATGACCTCGAGAATGACCCTATATTTTCCTAGTGTTTCAAAATAATTATACATGGTCAGGTAATAAAGTTATTGAACCTAACCCCATTTTTTCTATGTATATTTTACTGCAAAAATAGCAAATCAAATTTGGTTTTTAAAAATATAACACGCCACGGATGCTATTCAAAAAATATTTAAGTAATTCAAAAAGTTCAAAAAAGATTCAAAAGGTTTAAAAAACAGGTTTAAAAAGGTTCAATGGTTCAAAAAATACAGTTAAAAAAGATTTTTGAATTTTTTTAATATTCCAAACCTTTTAATTGTTGGAAAATATGCTATCTGTTTAGATTAAAATATACAGGGTGCTCCATTAAAAAATTAAGGTTAGGTCTTATCGATAACTTTTTCTTGACCCAGTACATTCATTTGAAAACGGCAGATTATTCAACAATCACTATAAAGAAACTTTTGCAATAAACGTTTTGCTGTATTGTCTTTTAACTATGAAATACATACAGGGTTAGTAATAATAATGCCAGAACGGTCGATTATTTCAAAAGATACAGGAGTGATCAAAAATGTCTTATATAAAAGTTGTAGGACTGTAAAAAATCTAGATATCTGTGATAAATAGAAATATACAGAGTCGCTCACAAAGTTGTGAAGAATGATAGTTGTATCATTGTCAGCTAGTAAATGGGGGTCATTTTCAACACATTAAAAAATAGAGCCGTTTTGCCATGATTTGTTTATATATTTATTATACGTTTTTGTTAATTAATGAAATTGTTTCTTAAAATTTATTTTGTATTTTGTAACTGATGAAAATGTCATGATGTATAGGAAACTAATGAATTTAGGTATAACATGGTTAACAAAAAATGTTTAAAATTGAGCGACAATCAGAATAAGTAATAATATATAGAGCGTTCCACTAAAAAAATATAACTAACATTCTCCACTGTATATTTCAGTTTATCACAGATGTGTAGATTTTTAACAGCCCTACAACTGTCATATCAAACATTTTTTGCACCACCAAAAAGAGCCATCTATCAGCTATGAATAAACGCAAATTAACAGTGCAGTCATGCTATTGTAAGCTCTACCGTATTTACTTTCTTGGTCTTTTACTATTAGCAAAAAAGACACTGCTGTTACATTATTTCATTTAAAACTTTGTTTTCTGTTTACGAGTACACCTTTCGTTCCCTAGCCATCCTCTTGATCACATATTCATTAAAAAATGTTACCTACCTGAAAGCTTGTATCTCGACTACTTTCAGAGATATAATATAATCACCTGCCATTTTAAATTAACCTAGAACTAAGAAACCAAAAACATTCTTATTTCTTATGCCTCTACTCTTGCACCAAATTATAATTTGCACTTGAAGGGAAAATAACTATTAACATATTAAGTGTACTCAAAGAGTTCGGAAAAATTCAGGAAGGTTCGGAAAATTCAAAAGTTTCTAAAAGTGAAAAACACCCATAATATTCAAAAAACAACAACAGTGTTATTTTGAATAACATTATAACTCAATCATTGCTTTTTCCGCCAAATAAACGCTTAATATGTATGATTCTATAATAATAATTCTAAAATGACCACAAGTGCTTAAAAATAATTTGGTCGTTTTTAAAAGTCCCCAGCTTTTTCACCAACAATATTTTCCTAACCTCAAAATGTTAACTTTCAAACAGTAAACAGTAAAACAAAGTGTTTCCAAGCTCTTCCGTAAAAAATGGTAAAAACAGACCCAATTGGTCTGGAAATAATACAAAAAAACTATTCAAAAAACAAAAATATACTACTTGTACATTTTGTGGCTTTCAATATGTGAGTCATGCACCAAGAATGTCTGATGTTGGCGGTCTATCAGTGTTTAAGTTTTGTTTTAACTTTTAAGTATTAAGGGTATTATTTTGAATATGTGAATAAAAAATAAAAATCAGAGTGAAGTGTATTTTGCACGCTGACTTTGTGTTTTCTTAATAATTTTACAAGTCTGATTTAAATGGCAAAACATTTATTGAATGGTCATGTATTTGGTGTCGTTTTGATAGGTAAAAGTAAATACAGCATATAAAACCCATTGGATCAAGATTTAGAAGTGACCGCAAAAATGACTTAAATTCTGGGTGGTCACTTATCGTTATCACTTTTAAAAATTGCCGGTCATTTACCTTCACTAAAAAAAAACAATGAAAAAACGCTAGTGTGGAAATTGTTATGTTATGTAAATGTTACATAACAGGAAAAATTTCCAATTTTTCAGTACACAATGCAAAAGATTACATTTGCTCTACCATATTTTCAAATCTATCAGATTTAGAACCAACATTCAAATATGTCCGTATTAAAAACCAAATAAGCAGGCACATTATCAAATAATGGTGTACCAACAGTTATTGCAGCTCTTAGCTTAAACGATAAAATAAATAACTTTTACTCTTAGTTATTTATCCGAAACTTAGTTAAAAATGCTCATTTGAAAGAAAATGCAAACACTGAAACATGGAAGTCAAAGTTGAACATGAATAAAAAGTTAAATAATTCGCACAACCAGACAATGTAAATTTATCCATTGAACATTGTTAGACATATTTAAACATTGCAATAGAGGAATGCGAAACAGAAAACCACATCAAAATCTTGGCATGCTGTTGAAGTATGTATATTTCATATATACAGTACGAGATTATTGTCTGTCATTTATTAATATCTGAAAACAAACAATCTAACCGGAAACATTTTCTTCACAACCAATCCTTTCCGTACGGAAGGAACATAAATTATTTGAATGTTGAGAATTAGTCGTCTGCACAACAAAACCGCGGTCTACAGTTAAGGCAGGCTGTAAAAAGTTAATACATCTCTTACTGTAAAAATGTTACAATTAAAAAAAAGTCAAAAAATAAATTACTCGTGTAATACTCAGAGGTACATTTTTGACATACTTTCACTTTGGCTTTGGTCACATAAACATTAAAAAATTCAACTATAAATAACAACACATTAGATAGGTGTAAATACTGTAAATTTTAAAAGAAATTCAACGGAAGAATTTGTGCCCTCTTATAAATCTACAATTTTTAACTACAGAGAATAATACTTTTGTTTGTGCACTGGTAATAAAATATAACTTTCTTTGTGCACAAATTCAACACAAATGCATCACGGTTTATAGTATGAACAATAACCCACCGATTAACCCTTTTTTTTGTTTAACAATCACTTTTTAGCGGTTTACACCTACAGATATAAAAAATATAGGTGCGTATCTTTGATAAAACACCATACGGTTACGAAGGGTTCTCACGTTTGTAGAGCTGTGTTAATCTCGTCGTGGATAGTAGCTAATTCCTGAACCCTCGCGGCGATTTGTTGATTTAAAGTTAACAAGACCTGCTTCTGAGATTCGTGCGCGCTTAAAGCTACCTCTAATTCGGATTGGGCGTACTTCGCGGTCGCCTGAAGTTCCTGATTTTCTCGCTGGAGACTCTACCATATGAACGTTATGAGCTGTAAGGATTTTTTTTTTTATTAAATAATCGTTACCTGCGTGACGTCGGAGAGTTTGTGCGATGTCGAAAGCTGTTGAATTTCTTTATTTTTCGTATCGATTTCCGATTCCAGCATTTCCACACGGTGTCGAAGATTTTGAATTTCTTTCCGAAGTTCATCCGCTATGTCTCCACCGCCTAATAGAAAAATTCTTAACAATGGTTCTCGAATTGTATATTACTGTAGGTATTTACTATTTATACTAGGTATGTGTTAATTACATTTTGTTTTTAAGTGTACAGGATTTAGATTAGTAATCAACAATAGCGAAATGATTTTGCTATTGTGCAGAAACCGTGATTTCGTTTGTTACCAGGTTCATATGAGAAAGTGTATATAATCAATAGATTGCTTGGTATGAAACAGGGCAGAAAAAGTATAATTCTAAAGGACAGATATGTGTAAGTTATGCAATTTGTGGATATGCTCTCTCGTTTGTTTGTTCACTACTGTATGTAAAGAGTGTGCACTGATGTTAAGGTGAAAACAATTCTGTGTGGGTAAATTCATTACTAAAGGCACATACAATAGATTGCTAACCTTATGCATTTTATGGGAAACACATTTAGGTATACTTAAAAGCGGCCTCTATTGAGCAGCCGATAATGCACGCTTAGTGAAGTGACAGACGGAAAACGTCAAACGTCAAGTAGCGGAAAAACCGTTTTTAGTTTGAAGACATTATTTTTGAACAATCGCTCGATGGGGCGGAATATAGATTTGGATAGCACCTCACCATTAAGTGGCACGGACTGCAGTGAAGTAAATATGCCATTATTACACATATCAGCGGTGTGGTTCTCTTGGATCAATGAGAATGAGTAGATGAGGTTATTGCATGCAAGCAAAAATGTTACTATAGGTACTATCTACCTCAAAGATTATTACAGTAGGTAAGCAAGACACAAAAATCGTCAATATAGTAGGTCCTTCACAGGAAACTTACAAACGAAAGGCTCGCAAGCAACAAATTAACTAGTCCGAAACAAATCCCAAAATAAATTCACTGTTAACGGATGAATTACTGCCGATTACAAATAGAAAATGTCTTCAAACTATAAACGGTTTTTCCGCTACTTGACGTTTGGCGTTTTCCGTCTGTCACTTCACTAAGCGTGCATTATCTGCTGCTCAATAGAGGGCGCTTTTAAGTATACCTAAATGTGTTTCCCATAAAATGCATAAGGTTAGCAATCTGTTCTATGTGTAAATCTGTGCTAAAGGTAATGGACACTTCATAATACTCCCACAGCACACTACCACAGAATCAAGTTCATTGAAACAGATCTCAAAAAATGCTACCATTATAAGTCCACAATTCAACAACCAGCAGGATTAATCCACAATGTCCATGAACCTAGCAGAGCAAGGTCAGCAGAACACAATCAAAAATATTGCATAATTAGGTGCTAATTAAGTGCCCTATGAACCTGGCAAAACATGCACCTAATAATTTAAAAAAAAGGAGCATTTAATTCGGGGATAGGGCACTTAATTAGCACCTAATTATAGTTACTTCACTTTTCATTTTATTGGTTTTTTGAAGTAGTGTTCTGCTGAGTTCATATGAACCTGGCAACAAATGTAATAATTTAAAAAAAGGAGCATTTAATTCGGGAATAGGGCACTTAATTAGCACCTAATTATGCAATATGTTGGTTTGTGTTCTGCTGACCTTGCTCTGCTAGGTTTATGGAGTAATGGATTAATATCCACACTTACTTTTAAGATCAGATGAGATTTGTAAATTAAGCCCATTGACTTATTTATACTCCTTCTCCAACACTAGTAAAGATAATCACATTCATACAGCAAGATACCACTTCGAAATGGATGGATCATGTGTAAAAATCCCTTGTCTAGTCATTCTACTTGGTGACAATTGCAGTACTAATACTTTTACCAAAAATCTACCTTCCATAAGGTTACAGTTGAATCTCATTTATTGCAAGACAATTGTCTACCATACTCGAGCGAAAATTTTAGGGGGAAATTTGAACATGAATGGGAATTGTAACACAAAATAGTGTTTTTTGTAATCTTTTGATAAATAAATGGTACAATTCCGAGTACAATTCTACAGGGTGATTCCTATAGTACCTGCCACCGTTTGGGAGCGTATAGGGGGTGCCTAGGGGAGTATTTTGATATAGGACACTTGGGGTCGGAAATCTAAAATAAGGGCGCCAGAACCAAATTTATCTTCTGGAATTTCACGCCTGTATGTAGGCAACCCAACCGACCGACGTTTCGCGCGGAGCGATGCAGAGCGAGTTAGCGCGAGGAAGCGACATGGGAGGGAAGGAGGGAAAACGACAGTCAAAAGCAATAACGTTTACAAGTGTTCAACGTGGCCACCGTTGTTCTCAATGCACTTCCTACATCTAGCCAACTATTATTATACTATTGCCATAGTGTTTATTCACTTGATACGCGTCGTTGCAGACGGGATTTCGTGGGTTTAAACAAAATTTTGATCAAGTGTCAGCCACACATCGCCGCCTGAGATCGCTCCGTGTGCACCGCCGGCCGGTTGGGTTGCCTACCTACAGGCGCGAAATTCCAGAAGGTAAATTTGGCTCTGGCACCCTTATTTTAGATTTCCGACCCCAAGTGTCCTATATCAAAATACTCCCCTACGCACCACCTACACGCTCCCAAACGGTGGCAGGTACTATAGGAATCACCCTGTATATAAGTCATATCTACTATGGATGACATATGTAAAAGATTACGACTTTCATCAAAGAGTTAAAATTTATCTGACAGATGCAAATTATGTATGACATAAATTTAACTGAAATTAAAATAAGAGATTATCGATGAAATACTCCATTGGAATTATAAGGATGCAATAAATTAAACTTGAATGTAGCGGTATACTTATAATTGTTATATGTTTTCTTTAGGTAATCGATTTCGGCCCTAGGCCATCGTCAGGCCTAGCTGAAATTACATTTGTGAAGTGGTGGATAATATAAAGTTAGCGGCTTACCGTCATAAAATACATGTAATACTGAAATATACTCGGAAACATAGGTAAAATGGTACACTAATCTTACTTTCTTTTCAGCTCCATTTTACGACTATTTTAATTCAAGTTTTTACATCTAAAAACACTAAGCGAATTACATACCTTATAATATCGTAATAAATCCAAACTATATGCGTCTTTAAAAATCGAGTTTATATAAAACTGGAGACGGAAAACGTAAAATAAAGCAAATACAAGAAGCAAAGTGTAAACTAGTAACATGAAGCCGTGACAATTACAGGTGACACTGTCAAAACAGTATAATTAATAATTATAGCACGGAGTGCACCGCGTCGTTTTGAAGGTTTTCTATTGGCCAGTTTGGAATTTAGCTCCAATATGGCGACCGGAACCAACGACCAATCAAAAACGAGATCCCTGTTGTCGCCACTGTCTCTATAAAGTCACTGTAGTATGGTGTACATCACTAGGTCACCGGTTTATTTGTCAAAATTGAAATTAATAATTTCATAAAAATGTGCATGTGTCTGATGTAGTTTACTAGCTTTGCACTTCCTTTATGACTTTATGAGCGTCTTGCTATAGGAAACAACAGCACAAATTGTACGTTTAATGTACCTAACAATAATTAAAGATTAAAGGTAATGTAAGACTGTTGATTTTTAAAAAGGCGTCTGTAAGTATTTTTGCTGTTCTGTTTTTAGATCGGTAAGTAATTTTGGCGTCGTCGTAATCATAGCAACTACGTACTGTCATGGAAACACCCATGGTAAATAGTCAGAAATGACCGATCGCGCAAAAAGGTACATTACCAGAGACTTGTTATAACTAGACCGAGCGTAACGTAAATTTTACTATAAACGCCTGTTGTCAAGATAGGATAGGCAACCAACTGTTCATCGCGGGGCAGACGTACGTTCTGCAGCTTGCTTTAGCCATGTTTATTCTAAATTTTAGTAGCAAAAAAAGATAACATATAGCTGTTAACTGTTTTAATCGAATTTATTGGTATTTTATTTGAACTAAATTGGTATATAACTGCCTTACTCTACACCTTTGCCACTTTTATTCGAGAAACTATAAAGTTAATTTGAGAAAGTCACAATTGTATTTGAGAATAGTAAAATGTATTTGAGAAAACAACAAATGTAGAATAGTGATTTGTATTTGAGAAGGCATCAAATGAATTTGAGAGTAGAAAATATACTCTTAAAACTAAAGATGTAAGTAGTAAGATATGATTATTTAGCGGATTTTGATTCAATATATGCCTATCCAAAGACCCAAATGGGCTGTAACTGTTATTTATTTTTCTTAGACTGCTGATAACCATTTTGTTTACAACGCGGTGTGGTGTGGATTGAATGAAAAACCTGAACACATTTTCAGCAATTTGGCAAATTTTTAATGCATCGCTTGATACGTGCAACAATCCTCCACGATTTTTTCTAGTTAAAAGCTTTGAATGACTCTCTGATGCGAATATCGCATCTGCACATATGGAACATTTAACAGACTTAGCTATTTTTCTTGTAACAAAACCTGAAATATACTTAGTACCAGTAAGTACTTAGTTACGTCTATACCTAATAGGCAAATAGGTATTGCCGTTGTCTTGCTGGTAAAGGATGTCGAATAATATTTCTACGATATTTTAAGTGAATGGGAAAGTCGAAAACGCTCGGTATTGCATTATTGTTTAACACCTTTGTAGGTACCTTTCTAAAATCGGTTTCATTCCCCGCAAATGCACTATGGTGGGAGTAAATTTTTCTCTTCGCATGGCTCTGATCCATGGGCCCTTTAAACTTTTATCCGTTGAAAATCAGCATATTATTTAAAAATGTATCGACACAGTACATGTTGATAGGCACAAGTTAACCTAAGTTTATTGGTTTATTCTCAACAGAAATTTATCTGTTCACTAATTCGAGCTAATCACGAGAATGATTAATGAACGGAACATCTAAAATAACAGCTTATTTCATTATATTGCATATCATCTCAGCGATTTTTGCCCCGCGGTGCATTGTGTGTTGCATACTGTTTCGACAACACCTTAGATACGTTAAGCGCAGTCTAGTTATAGCAAGTCTCTGTACATTACAAACTTCAAACATTTAAGGGATGATGACGCAACCGCGAGATGCCTGCCAGAACGGTATTTTCTTACTTGACTGATATTAAAAGCACCATTTAAAAATTTTCTAGCTTTGTGGGAAACAGGTCAGTCAGATGGTTTGCTAGCTCTCTCACTAACATAGCAAGTCCTCCAAAGTTACTTAACATGTGTTGCCCAAGTGTGGCAAACAAGAGCCAAAAAGACATTTCTATACATAACAAAACTATTGTCCTTCTTTTGCTAAAAATGTCTTCTGTCCTCCACAACTGCTAAGAAAGACACAGTTTGTCTTCCTCTATCCTGCGAAGGAAGGTCATTTTGGAAATCGAAATTGAAAAAATGTTTAGGACAAATGAATGTTGTAGTAGATGGTGTAGGGATTTTATAATGTTTTCAAAAGTTCAAGATCAACCGCGATTTAGTTATTTGAAAAAATATAAAATAATTGCAAATACAAATGTTTTAGATAGCTGAAAGATAGTTTTGAAAATTTTTGGTTTTTTCTCAATAGTCCTTAAAGTAAGGAAGTTTTCGGGTGTAACGACTTAGTATTAATACCCTGTATAATAAATTCACCCATGAGCAACAGACAAAAAACGCACTTCTAATAAACAATTATGTTTAATTTCAGTTGGTTGGTCATTGATTTCTTTTGACTTGAATCATAGAGATGTGAGGATTCTCACAATCCTAAAACATCACTTTGAGAAATGGATACAGAGTATTAGGTGACCCAATCTAGGCACATTAAATTTGTAAAGGTATTTTAAAATAAGTCACATCATCAAAGTGCATTTTTAAACACAAGAAAAAGGCGCAGAAAAAGAGCAATAGACAGGGTGTACAATTTACAAGAACTGGAATCTCTTGTTGACCGTAAGTGCAGTTGATATTTCTCCAACGCGATCCGCAAGTATGACAAGCATACCTTCTAAAAAGTTTAACTGCTAAAGGAGTCTATTTTTCTATTCACTACCTACCATGCACAGAATTAGTTCAATCATTTTCCTCTTTCCATAAAAAACAGTTTCCTTTCACTGATGTGTTACATTAAATTTAAATAGTTTACAGTGTGGTTGTATAAACAAAATAAAATAAGCAGTTTCATTGACCATATACCATCTGTTACCCCAGTTTCATAACGATTTACATAATAGCCGATTTGATTCACTAAATGCATTTAATTTATACCATGCTAATTGATATGTCGTCACGAACTAATTGGATACATTAACGTACCTTTACTGTTTTCTAAATCTGATTGATATTTCGCTTTCATCCTCATGTTTTCTTCTTTGTAGCTGTGTAGCTGCCGTTTCCACTCGTCCACATTCGCCGTGCTCTCCTGCAGTGCACTGGTCAGTCGTGCATTATTGCTTTTTAACGTGGCCAGTTCGATTTCCCACTTTTTGGCATTAGCAGAACTGAAATGTGATTACGCGTTAGACAAGATAGAAAAAAGTAACGCTGATAACTTGTTATGTAACTAATGTAACACAGGCAATTGCTCCAATTTTTGAATGGAACCAAATTATCACATATCTTAACAGTATGTAGAAAAGCTTTCTCTTTGTGTTAAATTTGAGGTTTTGCAAGATATAAATAATATGCTTTACTCAAGCTTGAAATGAAAATGGGAATTGTAATTGTACTAATTTTGTAACTTCAATTAACTCTCTTTTAGGTTAAGGACGGTACCAATTTGAAAAACAATAACAAATACCAAACAACTCAGTTACTGTACAAGACAAAAGACACAATGAGTGATATTATATAGTCATACTTCAGTTGTTTACACATATTAATACCAATTAAATTAAATATGGGTTCACCTGATGCCCAAACAAAAATTACTACACAATTAATACAGTCCAAATTAAGTGCACTATATTGCTTCAAACAGGACACTCTGTACTGTTGCTTTTGATTTGTGTAGCTTTAAACAAAATAATAAAAAAACAATTTATTATGAAATCACACAATGCGACAGTTTGCTAATAACCGTTATCAGAATAATATCATAGTAAAGTAAATAATAGTGGACTATAATATTTCCATACAACAAGCATTAATTAAACATTTCAACATGCCACACAACATGAATAATGTAACAGTCGGTACAAGGGTATAATTATTTGCCTCATAAAATTCACCAATTGTAGGTACAGAGGTATCACTTCCTTTAAGTAGTTTTCCACTTTCTTGCTAATTAAACCACATCAAATATTAACGCACGGTGACCTTCTTACATGAAAAGTGATGATACACACGCACATTATTTTCCACGATTCTAACAAATTGTTATCTGATAACTATCAATATACTTTGGAGTTCTGATATTACCAATGCACAAGGTAGTACGGAGTCTTCCCGTTTATTGTATCATAAGAACGAAGTTTTAGCGTGCACAGAAAGATGAAAGATAGATACATGATGGAAAACCAATGCTTTTGTATTTCTTCTTAATTATTATTATTTCGGTAACTATCAGTATACAGTGTGTACATGGAATACAGACTGAACCAAAGCTAAACGCCCAAACTGCCACAGCTGATGGTAGTGAGGAAGAAGGTCAAACAAGTACTTTTTCCAAACAAACCAAAGATCCAAAATTCTTTAAGTGCCATAAAATTCGCAACAAAATTTGATATCCGGGTTTTTCAAAGAAAAATAAACAAGTGAACAACGTGGACACTCTCGACTAACAAAATCGTATTTTGGGGACGATCTATAAAGCGAAACGTTTTTTACCTTCACATTATTTGAAAAAGAGTACTTTGGTACTCTATCCAATTTTTTTGCACACCCTGTCTATCTATTCCTCACGAGCTAGCGCGAGTAGAGATCAACGCGCTTGTAAAGACAGCTCAAAATTTGGATTTATTTTTTCGAATTGTACTAACAGTAAAGTTGGCATTTCTAGGAATTTAGCCGAATCTGTAAGTACAATAATAACAAAGATAGCCATGTTATCCTATACAATTTAAGACACCCTATACAGGGTAGACCATTAGTGTGTGGGTGGAAGATTTTGGTTTTACTAACGCGCATACTTAAAATTCATTGTGGGGGAATGTTGAAGGACCCTTCAGGCTACAACCTAAAAATATTTTCAGCAATAATTGTTATACAGGGTGATATATATCAAAGTTGCATTTTTTTAATGGAACCCTCTGTATATTATTACACATTTGGATTCCTTGGTCAATTTTAGTGTGACTTTATGTATTACACATGATATCTAAAATGAGTCGTTTTTTCAAAAAGTAGATAGTTATCATAAAAGTTAGAAGGCCGTAACTTTGCAGTGGTACTAATCATTAAATGTACTAACATACGCCGAACGTCTAAAGTTAAACTTCTTTTGTGTTAAAAGAAATCACTCCGTCAATTTTCAAAATTTTAATCAAAGGTAACTTGATTTTTTTAAATGGAACTACCAAGTTTTTTTTATCGTATCAAATGTAGGATTTTATTACCTTTTTAATTTATTACCTTTTGGTACCTTTTAAATCACCCTGTATAACAATTGCAATTTCGGTGAAAATATTTTTAGATTATAGCCTTAAGGGTCGTTAAACATTCGCCCACAATGAATTTCAAATATGCGCGTTAATAAACCCACAATCGTCCACCCACGCACTAATGGTCCACCCTGTATGTTCCATAGATATAGCCTACAGCCACTAAATCTGTGCCAACATATGTGAGAGAGAGCCAACAGTAGAATACCGATCATGCGCACTGAGTTGACGTTCTCGGCATTTTATTGACGTGTGGCGTGTTATTTCCTTATAAAGGGGTTTACCGTATTTTAGTTCATGCCAGGTTCATTTGAAATTATTACTGGTCTTGAGTATTAAAAAATGTGCTTTAAAATTATATTTGTACTTGATGACAAAATCACACCAGTCACATTTTAAATCCTTGGCCGGGTCCCAAGCTTCAAGACTTTACATTTGGTGATGAAATCACACTGGGAACACTTTAAATCCTTGCTTGTGTTTTATAATTAGATTTATCATATATTGCATAGTCACACTGTACACATTTTAAATTCTTGATAGTCTAGTGTGTCAAAAAACTAGTGCGCATGTGCGGTGTTCTACTTACGGTGCAAAATATATGTCTGTCTTTCTTAGGTACCTATGTTGGCACAGAAGCTCCTTATTGAAAGTAAATGGGAGGCTATATCTATGTATATATGATCTAAGATCATTTTTTGTCGAATCTGAGGTATCATTTTGGCGTCTTATCACAATGGTAAGTCAGTTATAAAAACAAGTGTAAAGTGTGACATCGCAATTCGACGCATTTGAACGAGGGGAGTTAGCCGTTTCCACTGTTGTGTGACTGTTGTTCAGTTTGTCAAAAAAATTAGACAAGAACTAAAAATTTTAAATTTGACATAGGTACCTGAAATGACTGCGTATACGTTTCATGAGACGTCATAAAAAATTAAGGTTGCCGTTTAAAAATTAGTTGGTGACGTCATATCTCAAATTTTGGACACCTTGTGTAAAATTTTATTACATCAAAAAGAGCGTAGTTTAAAATACTAATCAACGAGTATCCGAAAAAAAACCTTCTTTGGATTTACAGAAAATTCAAAAAAAATTAAAGACTCTGGCATCTTGTATATTTTGACAGAGATGTTATTTACCTCCGATTTCATTGGTAAAACATTCAAGAGCTTTAGAATAATGCGTCCACGCATGGTCCCTTTAAATAAAATTTCACTTTTTTTCACACCCCGTAATAAATAAATGGGGTCATAGGGAGGAAATTGTGAACCAAGCATTAAATTATTTAAATTTAATTCCTTATGGAAATTTCAAAGTCTGAACAAAAGGAAATGACTCTAAAGATTAATGTAGTGCATAAAAGAAAAACTAAGTAACTAATTGTGTGTGAATTAAAAAACAATTACCATTCAATTTGACCACCTCAATATGTCGGCGTCCATCTTTAACAATTATCTAATCAATGGAAATGTAGAGCTGTAATTATTATATTGCACCTTGCAAAACTAGCAGACCGTAAATATTACATACACAAATCTTCCTACAAAAAATGTTTTCACTTTTTAACATTGTAGGTAGTAGTAGTAGTAGTAGTTCTCTATCAGTTTAGATAATCTATAATTAAGGTAGACCATAATATTATTACACTAGAATTTATTGGTGTACAGAAGTAAACCAAGCAAATATAACATATGAATAATTTCTAACAAAATTGCTTAATTTAACAGAGAAAGTTAGGAAGGAAGCAATAGAAGATGGGGGTTTTCGTCGGGTGGAAGTTACTGTATATAAAGTGTTTTTATGCTATGGATGATATCAGTTACTTCAGCTTTTCTAACCTTGTTATTAGATCAATAAAAAATGGTTCAATATTTAGCGGTTAGTTTTTGTGCCATCCAAAGGGATTATATATAGAGTTTATTGTTTCAGATTGTGATCTTGGCGTCAGTAACCTTGTGTGCCAGGGGTGGTCTAATTTATGGTGGTGGATTAGAACATGATATTAGTGGCGGATTCGATGGAGGGTATGCCGCCGGACATGGACACGAGGACTACTATGTAATAGTATCACTATTGTTACCCACAACTTCATGGTATGTTTTAGGCTCACCCCAAGTACAGCTTCAACTATGCAGTGCACGATCCCCACACCGGCGATGAAAAGCAGCACATCGAAGAACGTGACGGAGATCAAGTTAAAGGGTCTTATTCTCTCAAGGAAGCCGACGGTACCACTCGCTTAGTTGAATATAAAGCAGACAAGCACAACGGATTTAACGCAGTTGTACACAAAATAGGAGAAGCGCATCATCAAGCTCCTGCAGTGCACGGTTATGGTCAATTGGATGGCGGATACGGAGGGCATTATTAAATACTAATGTTAATTTAGGCATATTTCGAATTGTGTTATATACTTTGTATACGTTATAAACAATGACTGTTATAAATTCTATTACTATATTTTTTTACTGTGCATATTTATAAATAAATGTTTGCTCAAAGTTATGCAACTTGGACTTCATGACCATGTGCGAATGGATAGAATAATAGCTTTATAACATATTACATAAGGGATTCTCGACTTTCGCTTTTTACTGTTATTTGCTTCATTGCACTGACATACACGACTTCAATTAAACGGGAATGAGAGAAAACAACTACAATCTTACATGTTTTAGCATACATTACCGTTTATGCAAATTTATTGCCGTAATTAAGCTACAATTGACTTTAATAGAAATTAAAAAGTTACTAGTCTGGACATAGCAATTAACCACATTTGTACTGTACCCCATTCGGTCATCAATGACCAATTTTCAAGTTCATCATTAATTTTATTTACGATAATTGTTCCGGTTAAAGAAAATAAGAAAGTGTAATTAAATTTCTCCACCATTCTTTATCATAAATCTGTTCCTTTGCTCCCAAACTATCTTTCTTCAGTTATTCAATGTGTTAAACTGCATAGAAATTCAGAACGGATCTCCACAACCTTTAATTGTTCTGTCCATATCTCAATGTACACATTTCACCGGCTGTGATCAAAACACTCGATTCGCTAAAGGTGTTGAAAATGCACACCGGTTTTCGACAAGCGATAAGGGGATAGGTTATTTTAAATTGGGTAATTGCTTAAAATGAACTTGCAAGTTCCATATTTAGTAAAATGGTCGTCAGCACGTTGAGTGGACAGTCGACCGCATCACAATGTCAACTAACGCATTTGGTGAGCAGTTTCAGAGAAGAAGATGGAGTACCGAACGGGCGTATATCACCCAAAAAGCACCATACTCAACTCATGATCATCATACAATTCGTTCTGGCGTTTCCCTATCGAAATTAGTTACAAATAATAAATTTAACTTCATTTGGTAGAAACTTATCTTAGGACCAAAAGTGCAGGAGCAAGGATATAGATACTGGTGCCCAGTAATTTACTTCTCTTATTTGGCTTGCAATCATGTCCGCCACATTGAAATAATTTGTTTATAGCACAATTCCTTTGGGCAAAAACGATCTAGCAGAATTTTTCAATTTCTTAGGAGTGTGCACTTTAAAAACTGGTTCTATCCTCCATGGTATTTTGGTGAACTATCTCAACAAAAGGAATTGATTTTTTCCAACTACCACCCTTCTTCCCAACCCCTTATGGCAATCGAATCTAATTCCTTATACCTTGAGAATATAGAGTGTCGGACAAGAGTACTCACAAAAGGAAAATGGAACGTCTGGACAAAACGTATCTGTTGGTGAGATCGAAACTTTTAAACTTTGCGCGATTCTGCAAATTTTAAACATATTTTTAATTATACAGGGTACATTTTTTAAATAGAACACAAATCTACATAAAGTGTTTTTTAATGGATGTAAAACAAACGATATGTCATTTATTTCGAATTTAATTAAAATCAGTTTTGTGTCCAATATGTCAGTATATTTACAGGGTGTTTTCTGTATAGGTTACCATTGTCATATGCGTATCTAATTTTTTTAATGGAGCTTTTGAATTTTGAATTGCATGTAGCATGTACATTATTACATATTTCGATGGAGCATAACCTCTGAATCTTAATTCATCTTAATCTTAAATTATTAAGTTTATTAATTTGTAGCATATCATAACTAAACTAAATACCAAAAACAATGACGGGACATCCTGTATATGAGAATATTTAAATTTATTTAGTAAACCTGGGCGGATTATTTACGAAAGTACAGAGTTGGTTCGTTTCATTTGAATTTGTATCTCAGTTTTTCGTTTTAAAAATTCTGTAAATGCGTAATTCTTGTTTAAATTTTATCGCTTTTGTAATTTACTCAATCTAGATAAGGTGTCCTATGCGATAGGAAGGTTTGTTGTGTTTTTTGATAACGAAGAAATAAGGTGTTATAAAGAATTGAGCGTATCATAATGGAGAGGTGTTTCCTTAAATACTGGAGCCAATGAAATTTTTTAAAAATTATTTCATGTGTTTGGGTATCAATTTTTGTCATTGTGAATCAATTAAATGTGTGTTTATTCGAATCCATTGTACGACCCAGATAAAATTTTTGTCGGATTGTTTCCGTTTCGTGTCCAAGAATTATTTCAGGTGTTAATCAAAAGTTGTATAATACATTTTTTGGAATTTTCGGAAGTTGATCGAGGCCACCGAGTCTCTCAAATTCAGAAATTTTAATATTAGAACTTTTGTTTATAGCAGTTGCAGTGTACAAGGAGAGATTATAAAATTTCTTAAGTTTCTATTTTGATCGAATGGTGTTTACATGCAGGGCCGGACTGGCCCAGGCCACTAAGCCGCCGGAGCGGCCGGGGCCCCGCGCCAGCGGGGACCATGGATGGGGCCTTCTATGGGTCAGTGAATTTTTGAAGCATTATTGTTTGTAAATGTTGAGCGTATTGTTAGTTTAAATTTGGAGAAGGATAAATTAATTGATAAATTTGCCAATACGTCATTAGAATTACAGCGCCATCTCCTTTAATTTAATGTTCAATACTGTTCAGCAAGTTGTTTGAAATACAATTTAAAAAAATCTGCAAATCCCTCGTCTTCTTTTTTTTTTGGGGGGGGGGGTCCATAAGTTTGGGGGCCATTTGGACATGGAGCGCCCGGGGCCCTTACCCACCCAGTCCGGCCCTGTTTACATGTCTAGTTTACCCTGAGATTCACATACGCACGTCTTACAGTGCCGCCTATCCGTGGCCACCCATTTTGTATGGAACGTATAGGGCTAATAGCAGTCCATGTACTGTATGGTCTAAAATGCGCTAAAGAGCCACCTTTGTTTCACTTGAAATAATTGCCTGAAAAGCTGTAAACATGATTAAACAATGTTTATTTTATAGCAGATATTACATTGACATTGTCCTGATATTCCGATCTTCAAACCACCAATAGATATATCTCGTCCAGGCGATTCATTTTGCCTTTTCTCCGACAAACTGTTTTGGAGATATTCACTTTTAAAGTTTTGACAACACCAATCAATATATTTCCTCCAGACGACCCAATCGCCCTTTGTGAGTACCCTCCTGCAACGATCTGTTCTTATAATATATAAGAAATTATATCCGATCACGATAAGGAGTCTAGAAAGAGGACTATGGTTGGTTGAGTACCATGAGGGAGAAAACCAGTCTCTCCACCTCCCTCTATTGACTATAGTTCCTTTTGTTGAAACCTATAATTAGAATACCATGAAGGGTAGAACGTGTATCACTCCCTGCTCTTAAAAAATTTACTTGGCACCCCTAATGCATGCATAGCAAAATCTGAGACAAATTTATTGTCGCATGTTATGCACTTTACTTTCTAAAACAGCATCTCAGGAAATAATCCATGACCCCCCCTCCCCCAAGGCGCGAAATTAGATGGCTGTCTGGCACACTCTTTCAAGGTATAGGCTACCTAGTGCAAAAAAATCCAGGACTCTAGGACCATTCCCCTGGGGGTTAGGCGGCATCTGCTTTTAATCTCTTTTACGAACTCAAATTTTAACCAGAAAGTTTGTTTGTTGCCGATGTAGTCCAATGATCATAATTCGATAATAATGGTGGATTTATACAATCATTATCATTAGTTCACTATCACTAGATAGAAAGAGCCTTGGAAATAACCAATAGAAACAAATGTATGGTTTCGTTGGTCAGTGACGCACTTTTGTTTCTATTGGCTATCTCTGAATGACTAAGTCCCAGTTGCACCAACAAAATTAAGCCTTGCTTAAAGTTAAGTCGAACTTAAAATCTATGGCAACGATTATTAAGACAATCGTTGCTATGGTATTTAAGTTATCCTTAACTTTAAAGGATACTTAATCTTGACGGTGCAATTGGCCCCTAATGTGATAATGATTGTATAACCGCAGCATAAGTACATTCGAAAACATGATCAATATGAGCCTTAAAATTTAAGGTAATTTTTCATTTTAAAAGCTGGGTATTTTTTCAACTAAAACATAGACACAAAGTGCGTCATGTAGCAGTGACCAATTCTATATATATGACACCCTGTATATTATTTAAAAATAGAGACTTCCAGTATTTGTGATCCGAAGCTACTTTTTTGTGACACTTTTAATACCACATGCAGAATCAATCTAGCTATGTTTGTTTCTGAGATACAGGATGAACACGAAAAGTTAGACTGCCTATTTTAGATATTTTTACGCACAAGCCAGTGGAGTAGTAAAAAAATGTTTCCAAGATTTTACTCAAAGTCAGTATTTTTTAATGCAACGCCCTGTATATTTTAACGTCAAATTTTTTCATTCCTTTTTCCTGATTACATTGATGTATGTATTTGTATGATTATATATTACCTAAATTATATTTTTCAGAATTTTTAAATGACATGCTTCTGCCGTCAGCGATTTCTATTGATTGGTCTTAGTTACCATGAATACAATAGACAAAATAAAACCTATCTATTTGTAAAATTACCAACAGAGCTTACTTATTATTCCGCTACACAACTCTTAGCCGCACCTTTTGGGGTAAAAGACTGCATTGATGTACATAGCCAACCTAAACTACCTTACTTGCTATTGTACTGTGAATTTTAAACTTTCACCACAAGTAAATTGTACTTTCAGATTACAATACAGCTCAAAAATCACCCACTGCAGTACTGTCAGGTCACACTACTTTAATGATAAAAATCTGTTTAATGCTGGCCAGACTTTTACCCCAAGCACCAATCCATCTCGCTTGGTTCTCGAAAGCCAGATCAAAGGCGCTCGGGGTTGTGTACCTCAATAGTTAGTAAGCTGTGATACCACTAAGTAGCTTTTCTGAAAGCCCCAAAAATTGATAAAAACCAACAGCAGGTGAGAAATCGTTTTGCTTCATACAAAATAATTAATTACCATAAAATTGGGATCCAAAAAGTTCCACATTGTCTGCGTTCTTACACGCAGCAACAAATAGATTATCAAAATCTTAACAAGACGCAAATAATCATACACTAAATAACTACCAATAGAAAATTAGTCACTGCTGAATAATTCTAAATTATTAAATGAAATTAACCTGCTACTACTGGAGACTCTTAAGTCAAAAAAGTGTAATAACAGACATTCAGAAAGACTTTCTAACCATCCTACCTTTGTGCAAGAGCCAATTTGAGCCTATCATTTTCATATTTGAGCTGTGCAGGATCGAGCTGAGCTGAAGCGATTGCTGTCGTGCCACCGCCAACTGTTTGCCCATATGGTGCCTTGTCGCCTTTAGCCTGGTGACTAGGACTTTCGCCACCCGGGACACCAGATAAAGAGTGACTTCTCAAATGAAGCATATTCTCTTCGTCTGTCTTACTTGTATTCATCATACCTAAATTACAAGAGTATTCAAAATGAAAAACAATCATATAATACTTATTTTATAAACAATTTGACAGTAGATAAAGTGTTATTTTTGAATGTGGAACGAATTTTATCAGACAAACCATTTAAATAATTTGGTCAGTTCGCAAAATAGAAACATAGTAAAGCGTGTCAGGTTTAATACAAAAGATAAGATGCACCCAAGAATATAAGATTTCAACTCGGATCTTGTTTAAATGAATAAACTTTAGATAACTTCTGTACCTATTTCATTGTATATAAATAGTCTTATCTATGTTGATAACAGAGCAGTTACCTGGCGGTTCCAGCAAGTTTTCAGTTGTCGAATCCGGTGCAGCATTAGTTGCCCTAGCAGTGATCGGACTAGCATTGGCACTTGTAACAGGTGTAGCAGCGCCATTCGCAGTAACTTTGCTAATTGCAGTTCTGGTCGCCTCTTTCACTTCATTAAACTTATCAATAAACTAAAATAAGATGTACATAGTTAGCGTGCATTGAATGTAAACAAAAATAACCTTTTGCAGTTCAGATTCGGAAGAAAATCCAAGACCGTACACAGTATTTGCACGTACATCTGACCATTGGCCGAATTTTTGAGAAGTCTTCGTAAATGTCATGTTTGGGGTGACAGTACTGTTGATTACGGCCTTAGAACCTTCTACACTTATAATACGATATAAACTACGAGAAGAATCATAAAAAAATGATACGTTAACTGCTGTACTTGACGCCGGCATCCATGAGCGCTTAGTCTTCGGATCAATGTGGAATACGTGAGCCTTACAGGTGAAGATGGGTTGCTCCCTAAAAATTATATGTGAAAAAGGGAGTGGTTGCTAACATACCAAGCTTAGATAAGTAAAATCACAAACATTAGAGAAAAAGGTTAACAACAACGGTTCATTAAATAAACCCTTGCTTACTTACAAGCCTTTTAGGATAAGATAAAAGAAAAGGGCAAGTTAATGGTAAACAGTTTTTTAAACAAACCTCCTACGCTGTACAACCTTAGAGACACTTACCCCATCGTTTCCTTTCCAGACGTCATTTATAATAGTTCTTTTGGTGTAATATTCGAAGTTTAATTAAAAATATTGTATAAAATAATTAAATTAAATGTCGCACTGCAAAATAAACTTAAACGCCATGTTTACTTCACACTGACAGCTGTGAGCTGTCAACTATCAAGAAAATCAAGATTTAGGAGGTGTCTCAATTATAGCAATCGCTGTGTCTGCGGCACAGAGTTGTACAGTGCCACCATGCTCAGAAAAGCCACGGAAAATATGCGAACTAATTTTGAAATAATTCAGGCTGGCCAATAGAAAGTCTGCAAAACGACGCGATACATTCCGCGCCATAATTATTAATTATTCCGTTTTGACAGTTGACGCTACACGTTATTTTAGTTTACACTTTGTTTCTTGTATTTGCTTTATTTTGCGTTTTCCGTCTCCAGTTTTACACAAACCCGTCTTTTTCGACGGATATTGCTTGGATCTACGATCTGATAAGGTATGTAATTCCCTTAAAGTGTTTTTACGTTTTGCATCAGAATGTACAGTCTAAATTTCTAGCGCCCTCGGGCACGCCCTCTCAGAGACTTTCTGAGCGTGGTGCCACTGTATACTTATATACAACGCTGTGGTATGCGGGTATCAAAACCAGACGAAGCGCTTCATGAGTACTACCTTAAGGGGGGAATACTCTACCTAAGCTTTTCACGCGAGCAGGTGTGTGATAGCACTGTCGAGGTGTACATACCCAAGGATGCTATATCATATATTATTATATATTATTATTATTATAACGGGTGATCAAAAATGAGTTGCTGTCGAGTCGCCTTTGGAAGTTCAAGTTAAATACAATTTCCCATGTAAACAAAAGTTCCAAAGGTGACTCGACAGCAACTCATTTTTGATCGCACAGTATAGCATCCTTGGATTATAACCACTAAAGTCCGTTTGTAACGATCCCTTATTTAGTCAATTTTTAAATAATTTTTTTAGGAACAAACAAATTGAACATTTCATACATCAACTTTGATCAATTTTTTGGTAGTTATTTTAGGAACTATTTTTGTAATAATTTTTTTAGGAACAAACAAATTGAACATTTCATACATCAACTTTGATCAATTTTTTGGTAGTTATTTTAGGAACTATTTTTGTAATGTTTAGAACCTGTCCTATTTTCCCTCAATTTTTTAGTAACTTTTGACAGATTATAGGGAATTTGTAAAATTAAAATTAAATTTATATTCATTTTTAAAGCTCACTATAATACGTTGACAGTAGATAGAGACCTTAGTTTACAGAAGATAAATATTTAGTCTTCAGATTTAATATAACATAGGTTATGTACAAATGTTTACATTTTACAGGTACTAAAAAATTGACAATATTATGGAATGTTGCATACAATTTCATCATTTATGACATTTTTAGGATAGCATTATCTTTATTGAAGAAAAAAAGGACTAAAAACTTGACTAAATAAGTGAGCGTTACAAACGGGCTTAAGTCGTTAGTGTGTATGTATAATCAATGGTGCCGATTTTTAAAAACAAAAGTGTAATATAAAATCCTGATGCTAGAAAAAAATTAAGATTGCACAATTAGCACTAATTTTAAAGGCCTCGTTAATCCTTCGCGAAAAAAACATTGCAGTTTCCTTATGGTGCGTTCTACTCGGGACACACTGTACATAAATATATGGTGTAAATAACCTCAGTTGGTAGCTCGATTGATTATTCGTAGTGGTAGCATTGTAACAGTGTGTCCTTTTTGACGGAAATTTTGTGGTGACCACGTTTTGTTCGTTTCCGAAACAGCATTAAACTAATTACTTAATAAAGTAAGTAATTTATATTGCGGTAAATTTACAATTATCACACGTATTTATATTCGTAGAAATGGGTCGCGTACGTACCAAGACGGTGAAGAAAGCTTCGAAAGTAATAATCGAAAAGTATTACACTCGGTTAACCCTAGATTTCCACACCAACAAAAGAATATGCGAGGAAATCGCTATCATTCCCACAAAACCTTTGCGCAATAAGATTGCCGGTTTTGTGACCCATTTAATGAAGCGCCTTCGTCACTCCCAAGTGCGAGGAATTTCAATTAAATTGCAAGAAGAGGAACGTGAGAGACGTGACAACTATGTTCCAGAAGTTTCCGCTTTGGAACACGACATTATTGAAGTGGATACAGAAACCAAGGAAATGTTGAAGATGTTGGATTTCAATAACATTAGCGGTTTACAGCTGACTCAACCTCCTACGAATGCGTTTAATAGACGTGCATAATGTAATTCGTAATTTCCAAAAATACATTTTTCATTTATTGTGAGTTGTGTTTTTTTAACATTTGCCGATTTGATTTTCTAAGGGTGTTTTACTGCCATTAACCATCTTTAGTTCCAAAAGAATTCTAAGACAGATAATCCGTAATTGCTTATTGTCTCTTTTGAAGTATTACTTCAGCAGGATTTATCTTTGCACTACTATGTAATTCCAGTAACTACATAAATTATTCATTAAGTAACTGGTTTTCTTTTCATCAATTCCTTTTACAAGGCTCTTGACAAGCCATTCACTTTCAATCAAACAAAAAATCAGGATTACTTCCTGAGGTTACAAAAAGGGGTGAGACTGCTTGCAGCAAGATAGGAATGCTGATGAAATTGAAGATTTCCACTTCCCAGAAGGAAACAACCTGCCCAATCTTGAGATGCCGTATTATATGTGACGATACCTTGCTCCAGAGTTTTCCAGTGAAGAACAGTGACCATGTTCAACTGGATCAGTGCAGACAGTAAAGATTTTTATTAATTCAACAATATTTGGTTTTGCTAATTAGGTACCTAAATTATAATTTTTGAAAACTGTATTTTAGTTACAAAGACAGCTTTGCTCTCAAATATGGGACACAGAAACATATACGGAATACATAGACGGTACCTATTCAGTTTCGTAATAGTAGACCTTAAAAGTCAAAATTTGAACACGGCAGAGAAAAAATATTTTCTTCATTTTTTGCAAGTAGAAGTTTTTCAAGCACTTCGTTCTATGAGTTTTCCGTAAATATATGGATCACTTTTGGGTTATTTCACCGTGAAACTTTCAATTTGAGCCCAAAACAAATGGAGAAATAGCTTGTTGCAGGTTGCTTCTCATTTGCTAAACGCCCAAATTGAAACTTTCACGGTGAAATAACCCAAAACTCAAAAGTAATAATATATTTAGGGAAAACTCATAGTACGTTTTTCAAAGTCCTTGGAAAACCTCTACTTGCAAAAAATGAAGAAAACACATTTTCTCTAAAACAAATAAAACTAAAAATTGGGAATTAAAGATTGACCAATAATGAATTTTACTTATTGCACCAATCGCACTTTCTGTGTAAATTAAAAATCTGGGAAAAATCAAAATTGAACTGTACACTGCGTTCGAACCCCATGTCCCACTCTTAATCTAACATTAGGTACACACATTTTATGTTTGAAATTTTAATAGGATTGAATGAGTAGGCTAAGTCTTACTCTGAGGGCCAAGTCCTCTTTAACCGTGAGGATAGATAAAATGAAACAGATGATTATGCGAAGCACTATACAAAATGACGTTCAGAACATATCTCAATGCTGTTTCTATGGAAACGAACGGGACGCCAGAACTTAAGCTTGCTATTTTTGATCTACATTATGACATTTAGCATGGCAAATTTGATATCATTACAGTATTTATAAAAGAACACAAATGATAACTACTATTTTTTATGGAACGTGGCACCTACTTGTAAGTAAAACCAACACTGGCAATAGGGTCTATTTTGAAATTGAAAGTATAGACTGCAAGTCTACTCTTTTTATGAAATTTTTTTGTCGTACTGGTATTTGCAAAGTATTGATGCATATTTGATACACTGGACAAAGACGTGAGAAAGATAAACAAATTCTTCAGATACAAAAATTTATTTAAAAAAATATGGCTTCCACATTAACTACATGTGTAAACTTAATACAAAACAAAAACAGTATCCTCGCATTCACACAAAACATACTTCAATTTAAAAATATATTTGCGATTTACGTATGCCACACAAAAACGTAACAATACTTAACCAACAAAATCACAGGTTAATTGTTAGGTTTGTGAACGAAATAACAATACTAGAAATACTATAATCATAGGAATAAGTAGTATATTTAAGATGAAAATGAATAAAAGTGAAAACATCATCAATTTACTTTGATGCACCGCACTAATTTGTCTTTATACTATGAAAGTCTTAATATTGATCACTAAGATCACGAAAAGAAAAAAACCAAATAAATTCGTCAAGAAAAATATGAACAACTCCCTATAATACACAGATCTACCAGTCATCTGTAGGCTCCTCAACATTTCTTGATTGTGCAAAATCGTCCTAAAATGATTACATGTTTTAAGTTACCTTGTCAATAGTTCCAAAACTTACCCCTCTAATATCACGTCCTCCAAAAGCGCTGCTACTGTAAGTACCACCGCCTCCGTGCTGCAACCAGTCTGGAACATTTTGTCCGGACTGGGATAGAATTCGAGATAGCTGACTTGCTATTGCACCATCTTGTGAACTGTCATAGAAACTGGTCGCTTTACCACGATTACCTAATAAATGACAAATTAAGAAAAACCATTATAAAAAAAAGTCTGGCCACTAACCCACTCTTCCTGTTCGCCCAATACGATGAACATACTCGTCAATGCTTTTCGGTAGATCATAATTTATTACGTGCTTGACATTTTTAATATCCAAACCTCTAGCTGCGACGGCGGTTGCAACTAAAATATTCTTTGACCCTCGCTTAAAATCATTGAGGGCTTCTTCTCGTTCACGTTGCAAACGATCTCCGTGAATACTGGTACTTATAAAGTTATTTTCACTTAAAAATGTAGCTAGGAAATCTGCATTTCGTTTGGTTTCCACAAACACTAATGTTCTTTCAGAATCCTCCCTTAAAATTTCCAAAAGTTTCTCCCGTTTTTTAAATTTATCCACTTGGAAAAAGATCTGTTCGACGTCGGAACAAGCGCTTCCTACGATTCCTACAGCGACAAAAATGTAGTTGTTTAAAAACTTTGCGGCCAAGTGTTGAATTTCTTCGGGGAATGTCGCTGAAAACATCAAAGTTTGTCGTTCGCCCTGAAATTATACAACGGATATGAGAAATATCTACACCTTCTAATTAAAGCGTACACAAAGTGGTATTTAAGCCGAAATCTGTGTTAATGATTTAAAGGTACACCTCACTAAATTAATCCTAACATTATCAAACAGATTGATCAGTTAGGATAGAATAGAAATAGAACATGCTAATAAAAAATTCGCAATTACCTGAAACATTTGCATCTGCATTGCGAATGCATAAATTAAAATTTTAGATAATGTAAAAAATGCTTTTTGAAAAATACCTACCGTAGCCACCATAGTATCGTGAGTCATCATTTCCTCCATGGCAGGTAGGAAACCCATATCAAGCATCCGGTCTGCCTCATCCAATACCACAAACCGGGCAGATGCAAAGGAGATACTTCCTCTCTTCACAAAATCGTGCATTCTTCCAGGAGTAGCCACTAATATATGGCAGCCATTAACGACATGTTTCCTTTGATAACCTACAGAAGTGCCACCATATGCTTTGGCAACTTTAATTATAGAATTAAACGAAAATTTTCGCGCTTCTTCAAATATTTGTATACACAATTCACGAGTGGGTGAAACGATTATTGCCTGAGGCTGGCAACTTTCACCGTCGAATATTAATTCAGTTGGTTGGTCTAGCAAACAGTGAATTATGGGCAAGAGAAAGGCGGCAGTTTTTCCAGATCCCGTCTGGGCGCACGCCATTACATCCCTGCCGTTCATTATCATAGGAATAGCATTTTTCTGTACTGGTGTCGGTTTTGTGTATCCAGATTTTAAAACATTATCTAATAATAATTTCCGAAGTCCAGACTGCTCGAAATTGGTAATGGGCTTAGGTACGTTTTCACCTGATACCTGAAAAGTTAAATATTAGAAATCAACTCGTCAAAAGTAAACAAGAGTGTTTACCTCTACAGCAATGTCATCATACTTTCCAAAATTCAATCCCGATGTATTACCAGAACTGAACAATTCATCTTCATCCATTGTAGGTTCTGGAGGAACATAAATTTCTCTTTTAGGCTGTTCTGCCTCATCACCTCCCTCTCCAGAATTCCAATTTGTTTCACCGTCGCCTCCACCATCGCGACCTCCTCTGCCACCACCTCTACCCCCACGACCGCCTCCTCTACCTCTTCCTCCTCCTCGATTACCATTACTGTCGCCACCGCCCCAATTATTCTCCCTTGGTTCAGAGTCATCACCACCTCCTCCTCCCCAACTATCTTCACTCTTTTGATTTCCGCCCCAACTATCATCGTTTCGGCCGCCGCCGCCACGACCTCGACCTCCACGGCCGCCCCCACGACCACCTCGCCCTATAAAACAAACTTTTTTAAAAACCCACAAAAATCAGAATAGCTTAGCAACCTCTACGAGAACCGCCGTCTTCGTTATTTTCATCGCCCCACCCGCCACCTCCGCCACTGTTGCCGTTGTCATTATTATCCCAACCTTCACTTCTGCCGCCGCCACGACCACCACCTCGCCCTGTAAAATACTCACGCATTAAAAAGGATAGAAATCGACCAATTGCGCTTACCTCTCCTCTCGCGGCCACCGAATCCGCCTCCTCCTCTACCTCTGTCTTCGCCCCATCCATTATCGTTAGCTGACCCATTTTCATTTGAATGGGCAGAAAATCCCCTGCCCCTGCTAAAGCTGCGCCCACCGTCAGATGATGTGCTGTTCTATAATTTATCAATAAGAAAAAGTTAAAAACAGAAGTAACCTCGGACATCCGCATTGTTATAACAAAAATTTTCATAATCTTTGCGAAAAAACATGGACAGTTCAAACTTGCGTTAAAAAGGGTTGCGCATTTCATTAAAAACATACTGTGAATTTCTGATCCAACAACAAGCATAACCAGAACCAATAAATTAAACAAATATAGCAAATGAGCTCCTGGGTATGGCTATAGCATGTGCAAGCCCAAATTTTAAACCTGATGTTAGTTTTTCTTTTATTTAAACTGTATATGTATGAAATTTCATTTAATTGCTTCCATAAATAAGAAAGTTGGCACTGCACATCATGCACAAAACCAAATTTGGAAAATGGCGCTACATATGAAAGTTTGCAATTTGGTCTGTAAATGGTAGAGATGCGCAATGGGCACTGAATGCTGATCGATTAGGCTCAACTTTTGCAATTGTGTTTTATATGGCTAAAGCTATGCGCATATTGAATTTCATGCAATTCGGTAACTAACAGAGATGTCAAAAGGGCCTTCTTTATTTTTTTGGTCTACATTCCCAATTCACGAACTCCAATCTACAAATTTCATAAATAATCCACCTGTAAAATTTTATCGTAATCGGTCCATTCGTTTATGAGCTATCGTGCTAATGGACAAACAGACTGACAGACACCGCAAAATTATAAACTCGATAGTAGCTGGTTAATAAGCTGGTTAGCTATTGGAACTTCAACAGAGACCAGTATCAATATTTAGTGCCACTCAAAATTCTTAAACCTTTAATTCATTCACAATCATAAATATGTCACATTTGGAATCAATGATAAAACAAATATATAATTATAGTTCTTTAACTAGGGTAGAACCTATGATTAGGTACAGTCACACACACATGTAAACAAAAATTAATGCGAGTGACAATATTCAATGCTATGTCTTGTCTCTTCAGGATCGTAATGATGAACCCATGACTTGTCCTTAGTCGTAATGTCCAAAAAAGTAGTCTCTGCCACAGTAGCGCTTCAAAAGTTGTTCACAGCATTCTAATCGACGTGGTTTATTCTCCTCTGTGAGCTGGTATGGTATTTCCGTTGTGCACAGATTTTGCGGTACCTCAGTTGTGAAACACTGAACCCGACACGTTCCTTAGATATTTCGATACGGTTTTTAATATGCTGTCGAGTGATTCGCCAGTCATTTTGAATCAAATATTCGACAAGTTTGTGATGATAACCACCAAACCCAAAAGAAACATCACACGCCACATACAATCATATGTAGACATCTACATCCGCCATCACCATTTCAATGAAAATTAATATCTTTTTTTTACAATAATTATTGACACAAAACCTGACAATGGTTTAATACTGAAATCGATAGATCTCACAAGACAAATAAACATATATTACTTATTTTATTATTAGAACTATATCTATATATAAAAATGCCGAAATTTATTTACTCACTTCAGAACGACTGCATCCAAATGGATAGTTCTTTTTTTGTTGTGTTTCTCAGTGCTATAACCTTTACCCTAAGCTACGGCACTCTTTTTCTTAAAAATGAAAGCAAAGAATGGAAACGTTACTAATTATTTTATGAAAATAATTGTCGAGATAGAAAATATAAATTCGTACCTACCTACCCTACATCTGTTTTAAAACATCTCCAAATTCTATTTATAAAAAGGGCAAGGTTTGCCGTGACCTTAACAATAAACATAAAATTCATTCAAACCTGTGCCCCTTTGAGAATAGGAGGACGACCGGACACATAATTAAGCCATAAAGGGATAAAATGTTCCAGATTTTTAAGAAGTAATTTAAGATTTTCTATAAACTATAGTAGGTACGGCTTTCTCACGCTTGGGGTAAAAGGCGGGGTCGGATTAAACGCAGTGACGTCCCGAGGAGATAATTGGGGGGGGGGGGGGTTTTCATGATTTGGCAGCTTTCTTATTTATGAAAGCAGTTAAACAAAATATCATATGTAGGCACCTTGAATGAAGCTAAAACTAATACCGGTTTCAAAATTACTGTTAACCCATGCTGTTTGTTTTATTTATGAAGGTAATTTATAATGTAGATAATGCGCAATGCTATTTACGAAAGCATTTATAAAAAGCAAATTGTGCACAACTGTTGTGCATTTTTTTAACCAAAATAGCTTTTGTTTTGCCATCATCAAGGGATATATTTCTTGCAGACGTCTCAATCGCCCTTTGTGCGTACGCTCTTCCAACAATCCGTTCTTGAGGTATAAGAGAATATACCTAATCACGATAAGGAGTCAAGGAGGAAGGCTATGGTTAGTAGAAATTAATCCCTTTCGTCGAGACCTTTCATTAGAGTACCATGAAGGTAAAGGTAATAAGACTAGTTCCACCCCCCTCCCCTCCGTACTTTGATAAGAGGACAGAAAAAAGGGCAGTAGTTGGTAGAAAACGGCTCCTTTTGTTGAAACCTTTAATTAGAATACAATGAGATCAAATTAATTTTTAACCCCCTCACTGAAACCAATTTATTTCGATGAGACCTTTCATTAGAATACCATTGAGTCTCGACCAACCTTCTAGGTATAGGCTACCTACTGCAAAAAATTCTAGGACCAATCCCCTAGAAGTAGTTTCAAACGGCAGAAGTGGGTCTGGACGAAGGATCTCGTGCCTACCAGTATTTTTTCCCGGTCCTAGCATTAATATTATTAGGAGGAAAACACGCTGTCGTCACAATAAACAGTCTTTAAATGATACTTTCTCAGTAGTTAAAAATGTTTCACTAGCCTTGACATAACATCCGAACACATTATACTTCCACTACTCAAAACAAACTGGATGAATCAGCCTGCCCTCCTATGAATGCATCTCATCTGCTTTCATTCCTTACTGCTGGTGACTAAACCTTGATATCGCTCAAGAAAATTCGATACAATATTGGTGGTCCTAACACACTTGTAATTATTTAGATTGTATTTAAAAAAATCAATTCGAAAAACGGCTATGGAAGTGATAAGTGATACACCCACTTAGAAAAATACTTTAGCTTTACCCATACCAAGTATGTAGCATGTTCTGTTGTTTTGATTCGAAATTTGTCCAGTTTTAAGTATGAAACGAATAATCTAATGTTAGGTATACCCCTTTCCCCACTCCCAATAAAAGTTCTACAATATTAACAAAAATAATTGTTTCTTCAAACATAAAAAAACAGGTTTAAAATCTTAATAAGTTCATGTTACACATGATTTAAAAGCCCGACTTAACTTTGGTTTTGATTTCCATCACTGTACCTGGGTAGACCAGGGATGGGGAAATTCCGGCCCACAGGCCAAATACGGCCCGCGATTTATACCAGGCAAATATATTTACAAAAATATTCATGAACAGGATGATTGAGAAACGTCTTGACGAGCATTTTGCGAATTTCTTCCACAAATTGGGACCCAAATTTCGACGCTATAATTCATAAACAGTCGAAATTTCATTTGTCCTACTAACTCAAGACATCAAAAAAAAACAAAAAAACATTGAGCGTATAATCAAGGGTGGCTAGCATTCTAATACTTTTAATCAGTGATTAACCCTAAGCGTAATTTACACGGGATAGTAAAACTCTCAGTTTGTGTCAGAGAGCACTTCCCAATAACTCTCATAATGTAAACAGTGATAGAGAGCTCTCTCCCAGCAAGTCGAAAACTTGCCCGCAAGAAATTGCTGCAATAAAATCTTGCACTATAAACAAGTAAAGAAAATATCAGTTAAATAAACAGATGAACTGCAAGGAATATGCCCCCCTTCCCTCCCAAACCCATAAACAATTTATATAGAGTGAGGTGAAATTTGTTCCACTTGCAACACAAATTTTCGACACGTTTGAGCATTTTTTTGTAAATAAGCATTCGTTTTTATACTTTTTAAGTTCTGTGACACTACCACCCTCTATTCTCATTGCTCTCTCTTCAGCCTTATCACGAAGGCCCCAAAAGAAATCAGTCTGGGCCTGGTCCTTCTGAGAACGCACAAATGTGTCCTTGTTTTTACAATACTACCTTTCCGTTTTTAAGAGAAAACCCACTAATAGAATCAATAGATTCTTGGTTTACAAAAAATAATGGTTTCCAAGAGTGCATTGATCTCATTTTCTTACTAAACATGCTAACTTTCTTGTTGGTCATGTCAGGTGCAAAAAATGTCAATGGCCCTCCTAAACGATCACTTCTAGAATACACAAAATTGCGTTAAATTTAATTGCATACAACATGGATTAATGTCATGTCGATACACATTGCAATTTGCAATGAAAACTAAGTGTCGCGTAAAATAGACGGAAACGATTGTTGTCAAGCAGTACAGTAAAACCAATTATATGCCTATCCGAAGAACATACATTCATTGCGATTTCAATAATTTTATCTGAAAGCGCTCACTTTCGCTCGCATTCAGATTGACAAATTTTTGAACAAATTTACTACCTACACAATTAATTCCAGACACTTCAGTTTGAAAAACACACAAGGTCAAATGTTAGCTTGGTGATAACAATGTGAAGATTAAAAGGGGGGAACAATGAATTTTGCTGAGAACAAAGCATTTTTGCAATAAAATGTGATATAGCCTAACCTAAAATAAACCATCAAACAAACTTTGAAAATTGCATTACCTGCGTTACCGGAACTGGATCGTCCCATTCGTCCATTTTTTTTTGCGTAAAGGAGAAATTTAAGTAGTGAACTGTCTGCAACAATAAAAATGCAAGTGTTATCAAGAACCGCCAAAAATTTACAAGGTTAAATTGTTAATATAAGATTGATTACGCTTAGTTGGTTGTTAAAATGTGTGAGTCTTTACGTATTGTTGATAATCTTAACAGCTAGAACTATGGAATTTGTTTAATACCTTTTTATGTTAAATTGGAGCCGGCGAATTTTGAACGTAGCTTTTGATTGGAATGCTTTCGTCGAGATGGTTTAACTTGAAAGAAAGAAGTCGAACTGGTTGATAAAACAGAGAGTTGATGTACCTTTTCCTTCAGTGACATCTTTTGATAAAGTAGAACACATTGAGAATTGTTTATCAATATGCAACCTGTCACTTTCTGCTGCAATTGTTGGAATGTACTCATCAGATGGCAGGATGTATATATTTGAAAAATGGCGCACAGTTATCCAGAATTGTACCATTGAATATTCAGATTTATTATTCAAATTCAATGGTTGTACATTGAATTTAAACTATAAATTCAATGGTTTACCATAGACCAAATACAATAGACTGAGCACCGGTTTTAATGTGGACCAATACGTATAGATGGAGTTGGACCAACAGAAGTCGCTTACCAGCAACCAGTGGCGCACTGAATTAACGTCAGAAATTTTAAAACTGAATAATTTTATACAACTGAAAACCCGTCATTTGGCAGATTGCGTGGTCAATATTATTATTTTGATTGGTAAATATGATTATTTTGGTTTGTATGCTGTGTAATATCGTCCGATTTTTGAATTATTAATATAGAGATGTAAAAATTGTGTTCTCTGACCAATTCTTCCAAACGCTCAGAAAAGGAGATTGACGAAAATATATGCGGACTTTTTTAAAGGGCATTAAATTTTCTACAAAAAAGTCAGCGGCAGCTTATGCCGACGACGCGAAGTTTCGTTTGGAAACGACAACCGTTTGAAGATTATACAATCACCTCTCCCGCCTAATTGCATTGCCTACTCCATTCATACGCGATATAAACCTAACACCAGAGGAATTTGCTGATGTTTGCGCCGGTTTTATAGCGACTGCATTTGCTAAAAATATACTTACATTCTTTCGAATTACGAATTTTACATTGAAGATTACGCCATGACGAGGGCCAAAATAGTGATAACGTTTTAGGAATGTAAAATGCTGCACATGCGTTTTTAAGGTACTTCGTTTTCAAAGAAATTTGCATCTACATTATAAATTTATAACCGCAGTTTGAATAACTTTCTTTGCAGAATCTGGCGGCTTCTGAAGGCATACTTGCGAATTATTTTTTTATTATTTTTTCTATAGCATTTAAACAGAATATAAAATAACGCCATGTAAATACCAAAGTCCAATACATAAATTTTTGCCAATAAAGTAAAATTAAATTTCACAATCACTAATAGAGGCTAATACAAACAAATAAATTATTTACACATTTTTGACGATCAACATTTTAGGATGAATTCGACGATGAGGCTGTCGTAACGCTGAACTGAACTGTAATAATTACGTAAAGTTATTAGATTGATCAATAAAAATTTTACGTGCTCCAAACATTGTTGATGTGTTATTACATGCGGGCATTTTCGTTTAATGAAAACCTTTAAAACATATTTTTGGAAAAAAATTGGCAAATTTTTTTTACAACTATACTGGAGCCAGTACTTATCAACAGTTTTCGTTGAAAACAGGGTTCGCAACTGATTTTAGCAAAAAAATAGAGACTTGGTCTCTATTTACATATTTAAAAATAGAGACCATTTCGAGACCCAATTTCCATACAAAATTAAGCAAAAAATATTTATTTTGTAATAGATGAGAATGATGAGATACATAAACGGCAATATATCTAAAAAAAAAAAGTAACCGTTAAAACGTAACTGCATAGACGTTGCAATTTTAATAACATTTTAAACAACGTAACAACATAAAATGGATACATTCTTAAAATACTTATTACCGCAACGCAAAACACCTTCTCGTCGTTAAATTTTCGACCCCAAGATAATATCTAGCTTCTTCAACCACTCAGTTTGAAATTTACACTTTCCCATTTTGTTTTATTTTATTATAAAAAACCTATTTTTCTACAACTGTCAAAAAAACCTGTCATTTTCTGACGAATTTCGAAACGCGAAGTACTAGATTTTTAAACGGTTAATTAATAAGTAAGGTTGCTCTTGACAACGTGCGCGAAACCGTCAACAATGAAAAAAAGTATTTCGCACACATGACAAAGTTGAACTTAAAAGCAATCGGTTCAGTTGTAGAAAAAATATAACGGTAGCTTCTACACTGTGAAATTTGACTCTGCAAAAACATTTCCTGTAGCTGACATGATAAGGCGAGTAACCAACGCTTTTGCATGAACGGAAAACAGCATCACGATTCGCGAAATAAAATTAAAACGCTACTGAGGTCATCGTAATTAATGTGTGCGCCATCTATGCGACCAATGATTCATTACGCCGTGCACAGTCTATTGTATTTGGTCTATGGTTGTACCCTTTGACTGTAGTATATAATTAAAGGTTGTACCCCAGAAGGGAATTGTACACTCTGCGCAATAATCTAATTGTCCTAAAAAATGGAAATATAAAATTAGTAATTATAGGGACTCGACAATACAATAGGTAATTATGGAGAACGTGCTGTGCCTATTACCGAGGAGTCTTCAATAGTATATTACCCTCGATATTACCTGTATCACAGATATAGTACAATCTGTGCCTGTATCTATTTTTACTAACATATCAGAGCACATTTTATAAAGTACCACTTTATTCCCTAGGGCATTAAGTATCACCATAGTATCTTATTTTCACTAACTTAATGACAAAACAAACAAATATTTGCAGGTCATTGAAAATTAGAAACGTCAATTATTAAATGTCAATACGTACTAACTCACAAGAATGGCCTTATTTCGAATAATTTCTGGAACTTCTTCCTCATTCATGAAGAATTGAATTATTTAAAATTACGTTTGACGTTTATGAATGGTTTCAATCATAATCAATATAATCATAATCTTTATTGATCCAATATATGCAGTTTTGAATGTAGGACAAACCAGACATCATGTTACAATAAAACTACTAAAAACTGCATCGTAAAATTAGGGCACATATATACATTAAATAAATAGATTAAAGATAAAATCACATAAAAACATTCGAACATATAGTATTAAGATTACAAACATACTATTACATAAAATATATAAAAAGTATTAACAAGTTACCTAACTTTCGAAATAAAATTTTTTTGTTTATTTATCAATTAAATATTCTTGTGTAGTGTAAAATGCTTTTGATGTAAGAAGTTTTTTGACTCTAGTTTTAAATTGTATCAGTGGTGGTAGGTAGTTGCTTATAGTTGCATTGTCCAGTTTGTTATAAAACTTTATTCCACAATAGAGTGTCGTGCTTTTCATAACTACTTTTTTTATAACGAGGTACAAATAACTGGTTTCTCCTTTTATTATACGCGTTAATATCTTTTGGATTAACAGTGTTGTTTATGATATATTTTTTGACTAGACATAAAATTTTATATATGTAAATACAAGGAACAGTTAAAATCTTATGCTTAATGAAAATAGGCTTACACGTAGCTCTAAATGAACAAATATCATTTTTATGCCCTTAGTACATAAATAACTAATTTATAGACATGATGTAGACTGCGATATTACTTCATTGGCTTTGAGTTTGGACAGTGGCATAACAGACACATTTTTGTGTTTTTTTTTGGTAGTAGGGGCATAAATGAAAGCCCGCGTTGCGGTGGGGAGCAGACAGAAGATCCCGGGAGACTGTGATCGGTTATAATAACTCGAAATAATTACATTCGGACCTGTGATAGATGCTGTAGAGAACGTTAATTTGCCCATACTATAAATAACGCAAAATTATGTTTTTTGGGAAATAACGTACACGTTAAGTTTGGCGTTTCTGATTATATCACAGGGTTGATTGTTTCCTCAAAATTGTCTCCATGCTGCCTCCCACGCTGTTATTTACAAACGTTTGCTATTCACTCCTTATTCTTACTCTGCCGTTTAATATTATTATAAAGAAGCGATTACCTAACTCATCCCGTCCTCAATTTGTTCAGTAAACTAAAATTACGAAATTATGAGCAATAATTCTTAGCTCTAAAAGATTATTTAAGTATTTTTTTGCACGTGTAAAGAAAGTAAATAAAACGAATTGGTAGCTGTGAGATAAAAAGAAGTGAAAAGAAAGTACCTACCTATAAGAATTCGTTGTGAAAGAAAAATTCAAGAGTATCGTACAATTCAGCAATAGGTAATTACTTACTAAAAAATTACGTGCATTGTTTCTTTCGTCGTTAGGAACGCACGTTATTAAAACTTCTATACCACAGTAGACACATATTTTGCTTCTTTACATTCATCTCCGCAGATTCCTCAAATTTCTAAAATGGAGAAAAAAAATGGTTGTAAATATATGACTAGGCGCGCAGAGACAGAGGATAGCTTGAAATCTATCTAGAGGCTATTATAACAGACATTGAGGATGTCAGAAAAGAGTCTTTGAAAACTAGTAAAAATTGCGAGGAAAGAGAGAAAACGACGCTCTACAAGGAAGAACCTACTTTCAACGTCGTCGTCAAGGACAGGTCACAGAGAAGCTCACTAAACACACTTTCATTTTAAATTATTCTTAAACTCTAAACTGGCACTTCATCTCGATGAAACCGGCGGACGCATTGTCATCTAACAGAAACAGTACAAAATCATTTGCCGACCATCATGGCAATCATTGTAAAAAAACTGCAAGACACCTGCAATTGGAAAGCAGTCGGAGGAACTGTCTTGTTGAGGCATTTTTTTCAACTTAAGTCAAAACAATATACCCGAAGAGCTTCATTGCGAATTGGAGAAGCTTGGTTAGGGCATCCTAGTCAAAATTATTCACTCCCTATACCACCACGCAAATTAAGATCCGTTGATTAAAATGATCGTAACAAACCAAATATGTAACCGCACTGGAAGTATAGTGGATATTATTTTTCTGATGGGTGATACAATGTAGGAGAGATGGTAAGCTTGGGAGTAGTCTATTAAGCTTCCACCAAAATTTTCTTAAAAATCACGATTCCGGGCGCATTTATTTTAAAACGTTGCAAAATCAAAAGAGATAGGAAGAAGTTCATAGAAGATAAATAAAATTCTAGTGGGCTAAATTTCGGACAAAAGATCCCCTCAATGACGTATGGCTACCTTCAATTGTTTATGAGTAATAAATGAAAGAAAAAGGAAATTGTAATTCCCGAAATAGTTTGGAAAACTTCCTTCCAAAGGATACGTCATGGATTTCTTATAAATTGCCAGTGTTGAGCAATCTCATATCCCTCACATAAGTTTTCGGACAGATTGACAAATAACGAACGGACAAAATAGATATTTTTTTTAATGTGCATGTGAATCCAATAATGCAATTTGTTCTGGGGAGGGTCCTCCACTCCTTCCTTTACACTGCCTTCTTCCTCGCCCACTTTGTCTCGAAATGCAAAATTGTATTTTTTAATAAACGTTACAGCTAGCATGTGGCTATCGCCCAAGTGTTTCTTATATAATTTTAAAAAAACCTTAAAAGATAACGCACAAGCAATTGGTTACGTTTTTGACTCCAAAGTTTGGCTTCTGTTTTTGCTGAAGTGAACATCTTCATCGCTATCATCACTGAAGAAATACACTGAAAACAATTCCTAGGTAAAAATTAATCCAAAAGTGAAACTTACAATCAGTAGGAGCTGTGTCCATTTTAGGCTCGTATTGGAAGAAAGTGTCATTATCGAAAAATGGAGGAATTACTTGTCGCGGATGGGGAGTCAACGATGTCTTTCTAGGCTTCAATTCATTTTCCACTATACCTTTAGTATCACTGTATCTTCTTTTCCTGAAACCAAAAGGTACTTGTATCGTTACAAGCTGATATGTATTATTACGTGTGTTTGATGGCTGTTGTAAATGCACTTCTGCTAAGAGCTTTTACGACGAACAATCCCAAAGTGACGCATATCAATATTGTACCGCTAATTAAAAGCCATAATACGAGTTTAGAATTGCTATGAGGCTCTTGGTATACAAGCATCCCAACAGTCGGCAACCATTTGTCTGCCAAATCTCTCCACATTTGTTCTAAATTTCCTGAGGACAGCTGGTATCCATTTAACGTGGAGTTGGTGTCAAGAAAGACAGGAATGGACAGTTGTATCTTTACGCACATATTGCTTTCAGGCCAGTTATACACACACCGCGTCAAAGTGTTAATGTGAATATTTTTAATTCTGCAAAGCTATCAGTGAATCATGTGTCTTTAAGAAAAAGAAGGCATACGTTATATTTTGACTTAAGGAAATATTGTGCTTGGAACAATATTCGATGGCCATATTAGCTATGGCATTTTTAAAGTTAATTAAATTGGTATCGTTTCCAAAGTCTTCTTGTGATTTACCGGTCACATTTACTGTTAAATACATATGGTCACCTGCTGCTGGAGTCGGCCATAGGATTGTAGTTGTTGGAGTCTCAGTAGTTGCAACTTCTTTACCTAAAGTAAGTAGGTTATAAGTACAAATTAGTTACTCATGGCCAAAATTGAAAAGTCTACCTTTTCGCGTGTACCGCAGAGAAAAGCCTTTTTTTAGAGCAGTGTTGTTACCATGTACTTGAAATGCTAAATACGCACTTGATTGCTCAATTAGATAGTTTCTTGCCGATTTTAAAGTGTATGTAAATACTACTCCTTTGTTCTCGTCTTTTAATTTGTCTCCTAAAGGTATAATGCAAATAAAGTTGTAATCATTCATGGCTACCTACCTCCTTTAAGTAAAAGAAAATCCCCACTCCCACTATCCAAATCTAAGTCATCCACAAATACAGCAATGGAATATCCATTGGGCACTTTCAATATCGTGGTTTGATTGGTGATGGGGTATGGCTTTGGATAATTGAGTGAAGTCCAAGTATGATTGTTGTCATCTTCAATAAACACCTCCTCACTTGGAATAACAGTTGTGACACTTTGAGTGTATCCTAAAATAGTAATTTGCCTGTGAATGTATTTATCATAAATACATTATTACCTGTATTAATTAAAAATAAGCCTAAAAGCAGTATACAAAGGTAATTATAAAAGTCCATGTTTTTGAAGTTCACCACAGGTATCACACTGTGTCTAGTGCAACTAAAATTATCGTGTTCACAGATTAGATAACAGAATTACGCAGATAAAAAAGGACAATTAAAGTGGTAGGGGCAAGTAGTCCTTTTTGAAAGGGCCTGTCCAAGGTTTCTTTAAAGTACTTTTCTTGTTTATTGATTCACGTATAAGTGAATGTCGGTGAAAAACAACTTGATAATGAATCCCTATCTATAAGTTTATAAATATGACACACTTAATGAAAGTGAAAAAACGTCAGTTCCCTATATGCATATGAAATTGGTCACTGTTGCTCCATCAATTCCAATAAAATACCTACCTATTGTTTGGCAAGAGATGCACTGATGTATTAGCCTATAGTTTATTTTACTTTCGTTTAATTTCCACTAAAACAAGTAGGTAAATTAGACAATTGAGCAATTTTAACGTTGGATTCAACCTTGTTCTATACATCTTCAATCTCAGTAAATTGCTTTGATTGCTCTTATCTTCAGCATATAATAATTGATTAATCATTTTTTGAAGACTTTCCGTTTTTCTCTTGGTGTATATGCAGTGTACAACAATGTTATTTATTTTAATAAAATTTAAGTGAAATTTTGTAAAGAAGTTTAATTTGTTTGGTTTTCGTAAAAAGTTCTCTAGTGATATTACAGAAATAAATGAATTAGCAAATTTGGCGGTCAGAAATACTTAGGTTCTCCACATTATCAGCATTTCTGTATATTCAAGTAAAATACACTACTATCAACAACAAATGATCCTTCTAAAAACCCACCAACCAGAAAATTAGGCCCCAAATACCGATGCAGACCAATTTAGCCGAACAGAAAGTACAAGGTCGAATCTAAGAGCCAACATATATATACAGTGTGTGCCCAGATTGTTTGGCCGGCTCTTATAAGACTACAAATTTTCGAATTTAATTTTGGGTTCTGGGGATCAGCCCTGCTTGATTGGTAAAACTAATTTGTGACATAATTTGTTTCGAAAAATCAAGGGTGCTTTGAAATTTTCACAAAAGATACGTAAAAATATTAAGAAAAATTGTTCAGAATGAAAAACTTGGTAAATGTGCAAAATTTCAAAGTCCTAGGCTTACTTTGATTTTTTATATTTTTATTGTTTGTTTTTCGGATCTCCTAAAAGAATCCAGTTAAAAAATAGAAACATCAAGACACCTCTGCTTCCATTTGAATAACAAACTTGGCACAAGGCAACTCTATGTACAGTCATAGGCATTGTACGTAATAAATCGCCAAAATAGTTAGGTGTAACCTTAGGCAAAACATTGTCGTAGGTCGCTGCTCCACTCATGCTAGTTACGCTTTTTAATACCACTCACGCAAGCGCTCGTGGTATTAATCAGCGTAACTAGCATTCGTGACAGCACCTCAAAAATATTCGACAATACTTCGACTACTTATGGTATTATATATGAATATTTCCCGAACAAGCATTACTTGTCAAACTGACGTTACTTACTTATAAATTGTCGGTGTATTGTGAAATTGTCCAAAGGAGTTGCCAGTTGCCATGGATATGGACAGTGCAATTATCGCAGGGCTCTTTTGCTTTCTACAGTGCAATTATCGCTGTAATTGAGCGATAATTGCACACCACATATGGCATTTATGACATATGAGGGAAATATTCATTTAAATCCCACATTATAAAAACTGCAAAGAAGCTAAAAACATTATACAAAAGCTACTACTTACGCACTTCTACTCTAAGCCTTGTTTTTTCTGAAGCAGAGTACTATGCACTAGTACAGCTGAATAGTTCGCATGGCGGGACTTTCCAGACTTTCCAATACTAAGTCACATTCCACCACCACAACCTGCGCCTATGAACTGCTCTGGTACCAGAAAATTATGGGAAACGCTGAGCTATTAATACATGAAAATCTTGAAGTGGCCAATCACAACCGGCTAAAATCAAGAAAGCCAACCAAATAAAACAGCAAAATCTTGATAGAATTCTGCGGAGTCTGGAGTAGACTGCGTATAAAAATGTTTAATGACCGTAATCATATAAACTCAAAGAAACAGCAGTCAAGATTCAAGAACTTTTAAGATATTTAAATACTGTAGTCTATTCAATGCGTAATGTGATATTAATATTACCATCCCAATATTTAATACCAAAATTGTGTACTTTATTTGCCCTCTCTTAATACAAGAAATTAGGTGCTTTTTGTTTTGGTACATTTTAGTGTGGAAATCAATAAGCTGCAGACTAAATAGATCTGGAAATGATTTTTTACTATCGTTGGAATTCGAAATATTGCGGTCTACAATATTTCAAGTACCAACCCTACAAACCTATAAATTAGATAACTGATAGGATGTCAATGGTATGGGTAAAAGCTGCAGACATGGTGGTCATAAGGCTACTGCAAAATATCGGGAATAAAATAACAAGTTTCAATTTTTTAATTTTCTTTTTTTAAATATATAAATATACAAATGTATTGCAATAATAAAAACAATGATGTGTAAAGACAAATAAATACTTTAAAACCTATAACAATTAAGTTAGTCAAATTATAAAATTTCACCTATACATTACTAGAATGAAAGATCAAAATAGAAAAATATACAAATTAGCTATTACTTATTTATTCTACACAAAGCTGCTTGTAGGTTGTTCTAAATAGAGGGACTGTTTTGTACCGTCATTACGTGGGACCCTAGGCACTTTAAAGAGTCCACTTTGGCCCCAATTTGAAGGTTTAATGGGAAGAATTTTTGGTTTAGGAGGTAAAGGTGGAGGATCACCAACTTTGGGATTATCGGCGACATTACTACTCAAATCCTTATTACATTTTGTTGGGGTTGACTGACTTGACTTAGAACTTTCATCTGAAGAAATAGTGCAGGTAGGAAATCTTCTTATATTATTTAAGTCCGTATTTTGATTAATATGATTTACACTATTATTATTTACATTACTACCACCGTCGTTTTCAAAAATTACATTCCTATTTTCATAATTACATCGCGGTTCAAACTGTCTATTAGACAACAACTCGTTTCCAGTCTCGGGATCGCAAAACCTTTCGTTATGGCTACCATCTGTCCTGCGAAATTTCCTAACCCGACTACAATTATGTTGACTAATATCTTTGTCTTTCAAAAAGTCAGGCAATTCGAAATTGATCTCTGTGCCTCGTTGATCCTCTATTCGAGAGCTCTGAGCTCTATTTAAGCCTTCGTATAACTCTAAAAAACAAAATGTTGCGTTTACTTGGAACACCTTACTGCATGTGACATACTATCACTTTCACTGCATCCCACGTGCAACTTATTAACACCCGTTTTCCATTTCGCGATTAATGGTTTTTTAATGTTGGCAGCCGAATGATCATCGGCGATATCCTCAATACTGCTATGATTCGAAGTGCCTTTAAAGCGACACGAATTTTTTTTCTTCTCGTGAATACCGGAGTCACGACGTAAAAATCTTCCTAATATTCCGGATGAATGTTCCGATCCCCAGTCTTCACTCTGGAAAGTAAAATCAGATGTTACCTTTTACTGTAAATTAATAATCAGCTCTTTAATGATTTCGAACATTAATGTGTTGCTATGAGAGTGATAATAAATATACAACAGATTATTTTAGTTTTCTTCTTATCGTCATCAATAGCTACTGCCTTTGTTAATTTAATTTTTCAATCCACCTCCATGTAATGGTATTATTACTAAGATAGTAAGGGTTAAGTGGTAGAGCAGATGTATTATCACATGTTCATGCCGAACATCTGAGCTTCGCACTTTTAGGTTTCTGGATACAATGTAGTTTTTTTTACTGTTTTATATATTTGCTGTATGTTTATTTTAGAAGTCTAATAAATGGCACTTATTATTATTTAAAACTGTCATGTTGCCTTTTGCCATGTTAAATTACATAAATCTTTATCATTAATTACAACTGTTTACCATTCAATTCGTGCAGCGCTTATTTATTTATTTAACCCTCCGTTACATGCGTTGTGAGCGGATCGCTCACAATATTTGCTTATACGCAATAACAATAACAAGAGAGGGATAATAAAATAAAATAAAATAAAGGGGGGGGAATTAATTTTATCTCTCACTGTATTCTAATTAAATGTTTCAACGAAAGGAACCGTTTTCTACCAACTACTGCCCTTCTTTCTGTCCTCTTATCGCAGTACGGGGTGAAGGGGGAGGGGGGGAACTGGTTTTATCCTTCATGGTACTCTAATGAAAGGTCTCAACGAAAGGAATTAATTTCTATCAACCATAGTCCTCCTCCTCAACCTCTTATCGTGATCGGGTATATTCCCTTATACCTCAAGAACGGATTGTCGGAAGAGGGTACTCACAAAGGGCGATTGAGCCGCCTGCAAGTAATATATCTATTGGTGATGTCAAAACAAAAGCTATTTCGGTAAAAAAAATGCGCTATATCTTCACAAGAGTTGTGCACAATTTATTACTTGTTTAAAATATGCAGAATATTCTACATATATTATCATAAAAAGCACAATTGTTGACTCGCCCTGTTCAAAGTACGCATATCTTTAGATTAATCGTGCTACAGTTAACGTTACAAATACCTATTGAAAAAATATTTACCTTCACGGATCCTCGATCCGATCCCGATTTGTATTTGATATCAGCCTTTTCGTGCAACAATTCTTTAAATACTTTGTTGGTGATTTCTTCGAGGGAGGACGCATTGAAAACCTTGATCTGAAGTGGTTTTGGATTTTGCGTTCTTGTTGGATCCTTAGATTCTACGAGGGGAAATTGAGCAAATCAAAGTAATTATTTTGGAGGTTACCGTTGTTCAACTGAATGGCTAGTCGCATTCGATCTATGGCCGTGACCGGAAGCGTGACATCTACAAGGTCTGATTTGATGGTAACGCTGACTTGCTCCAAATGGTAATCATATTTATTTAGAATTGGCTTCAAAACGTCCACTATAATTTTATTTGATTTCGATTTCACAGCAATTACTTTCTTATTAGGCAAATCTAATTTGAAAATAACACGTTGTTCCACTCGAACTTCGCACCCTGCCAGAACTGTTGATGGTTCGTTAATACTCACTGACTGTAACAAAAATATTAGTTAAATACTTCAGGCGACTCGATTGGCAACCTACTTTATGGTGTTTGTCCGTGAAGACTTCAAAGGATGAATAAGTGATACCACGCTTTTCAAGCACATGAAGTACCATTTGCTCTACTGTTTCATTTTCCTTAATTTTTACTACCGTTGTACTACCATTGTTTAAAATTACACGACATAGAGCACCTCTTGCAACTGTCGCATTTGAAGAAGTCTCTTCACTTAAACCTTTTGAAGAGTCCTAGCGGAATAGGAATCGTAACTAATTATATTGACGTGCTAACACATACCTGTGACACTAACGAAGACTTGCTACTATGCACGTCACTGATATCATTTTTGCTCACTTCATCAATTGCACTTTCATTGCCATCATCCTTTTTCACAGCGCACTCATTCTCGATTCGATCTTTTGATTTCGATCGATTTTTTCTATGCCAAGGCAGCAACGACTTGCGCCATCTATCTTCGGCATTACTGAGAGACTTCTTTAATTTACTAGGGGTTAAACCGGCCGGATGAATAAGTAATCGGTCATCTATAAATGTCTCTATGTGACCGGCCAGGCATTGTTTATATAAATCGGATTTTAAGAATCGAGGATAACTGTCAAACTTCATTAAGTTAAATATTTGCTTTTGCGTTTGCTCGAAGAGCGTCGAATGAGCCTCTTGCAAAGATTGTTCCGTAAATTGTCGAACTTGTGAGTCGACATTGACCGCTTCTGGCGCTCCCACGCATAGATGGCGTTTGTAGATTCTCTGAGCTTCGGCGACCTTTTCGGGACCGGCAGGTAAACGTCTGTACCGTTCGCACGATGTCCAGAAGTAAATATTTTCGGCGCTAAATTCTTTTTTCAAGAATTCCTGCAAATTACTACTTTAACCGAGGAGAATTTCGTCAACGAACTTACCGCAAATGTTTGTAATCCTACAGAATCTGCCAACAATTTCTCAAAAGAAGTAGCCCAAGCCGCAACAACTTCAGCTTGCTTCGTATTCTTAACTCCATTTTCGTCACACTGTAATCGATTGAAAGATATATCAAACACTAGATTTCTCATATCGTCATTGCACAAATTTAAGTAAACATAATGAAATGGCCACACTAACAAATTATTTTGTTGCTAAACATCTTCATAGTTAATGAACGGTAATTACACTCTCAAATGCAGCTGCAATTTATATTTTTAACACACAGCCCTCATGAACCTTCAAGCACTTATGAATGAATTTTTACATCAATTAAAGCTCGTCGTTTAAATTGGAATTAATTGATGTCATTGAAAGAGCTTAAGTGACGTCGAAACACACCACTTTATTAGCGCGCCATAACTGACTACGGGAGGAAATATCACTCAGTATTTATGCGACTACCAAAATGATATCATTATTATCAAGTAGACAAGCGAACATTATTCATACTTCTTCCTGACAATACAATCACACACACACACAAATGTTCTAATTTGTTTGGTTACTAGGAAATAAATTACTATGCGTTATAAATAATATAGAGTGGTGCATTAAGGGTAAAATCACTAATTAGCTGTATACTACGATGAATAGTTTTGTAATAAAAAATTAGTATGATTTTTGGGCCATCCAAAAAGGTTGTAAACATACCTGAACCACCACATCGGGAGGTGCAAGGAGAGACGCAGGACGCCTTCCAAAACGGCTTGAGCCGCCACGTCTTAATGAACTGTTGAAGCGTTGAAAAGGAGGTCTGAGCGCCACCACCAAGCCTGAACCAAAGTTACTGCTCTCGCTAATACATGCAACCATATACCAAAATTAGTCTAATGTTAGAAAAAAAGACTTAGTTGTTAAGAAAGTATGCAATTCTCAAATGAAAAGAACTACTTTTAGTAGGATCTACTGCAAATAAAATAAGTTGATCTTTTGATTCAAACTCATTTGATTTTGATGTATTAAATACTATTGGAATCTTCACACTTATTTGTACTACAAAACAATGCCAACTCACATTTATCTATTCTATCTATTCTATGGAAAAATTGTACAATTTACGCAATTTCGGAAAAAGTTCGTATTCTGTTGTGACAGGGACTTTTGTCACATACAGTATATCATCGGTTCCTCAGATCAAAGTTAGTTATGGGTGGTCGATTATAACATTAAAATAATACGTTCACTATATTTAAAAAAAACCAAGCAATTGGCGCATATATCTGGTGCACAACCTACACCTCAAATTGATTTTTTTTGGCTCGACTGTCGATATATTAATATCATCAATCTCGATTTATGTGGAATGATTCATTCATATTGTCAAAAAACTTGAAATTGACGACTGGATTTCAACATTTCTAGATTTACATAGCGATAAATAAATGAGTGACCGTCGAGTCACCTTTGGAATTTTTGTTTACATGGAAAACTTGAACTTCCACAGGCAACTAGACAGTCACTCATTTTAGATCACCCCATACTTCAATACCGTTCGTCAAACATCACTACTAAGGAAGAAATTTCAAAAATATGTGCATGTAGTTACGCTCGCTAAACAAGCGCGCATAAAAAATTCAATTTCTTTAATAAGACAAGTTCCATGTCATGAGTATTTTGGGATGTTTAAATACTACATGCGTTATTGAAATATTTGTATAATGCAATGACGTAAGTGATCAAACAAATTACATGAAAACCGCAGGTATTTCAATTGTTTACTTCGATGAACACCGCAGGCGCAAAAAACGACACCTTGGAATTGTAAAACTTTACCTTGAACTGTAGAAAATTTGGTCAACAACATTATCGTACAGCTTCGTAATTTTTTCCATCACTTTGAAAGACCCAGGGTCAGGATGTTTCTTTTGAACGGGCGGATTCAACGTTCGCTATCGGACGACGTTGGAACAAAACTGGCATAAAAAGGATATAGAGTAATCTAATCTTTATTTCATACTAGATAAGTGCATTGAAGAGAAGTTGACTACGATTTCCAAGAAATGTCTCCATACTTCTGTTCAGAGGGAAAATCGACATTGCGGTAAATGTCATTGTTCTTAAACATTACAAAACGTGAATTCCATATGAGTTCATGTTCTTTGCATCGCGAGGCGTTTGATGATGACACCCAAGTTTTCAAAACGGGCACCTACCCATGATTTAAAATACCTAACCCAAATCGATTCTTCAACAACTAGGACAGTAAAGTCCTAGATCAACGGCGAGTAACTACAAAGCGGAAACGAAAATCGTCACTGTTTCTGTTTTGTATTATTTATTTACACCGACGTAAATCCCTGGCTTGCATTCCGTTTTATCACATTTCTAATAATGGAAGATTTGAATAAGCGCATTCACTAGAAAATTGTAAGTTTGGTCAATTACGTAATTGATTCGTAAAAAATTAATGCCAAAATCAACATTGTAATTTTCTACCAATCCAAAATAGCCGTAAGGGAAAAATCAAACTAAAGACAGCGAACTCGACGTTTGTTCCATATGAGGCAATCGTAAATGGTGGATTCCAAACCGCGCAAACTAAACTAGGAAGCGACTTCCAAAGTGCCAACAACTCACTCAATAGTCTACCTGGCAAAAACGTTTCCTCGCCCTCAGTAAAAGGGGGTACTCGTACTCCACGGAAAGGTTGTAAATTGTGACTGATATCTCCTACGAATATAAGAGGATGCGGACCTTTAGGTTAGGTGGGTAAGTTATTAAAGCGATGAACGGCGGCGAATACAATCTCCGGTTTAATGGTTTCTTTTCTGCCCAGGAAAATCTCTATAGCGAATATGTGACAATTAAGTTTGCTCTCGAGTTTGCTAATATTGCTATTTACATGCAATCGATTTTGAAATTATGATCGGGCATTTTTTATGAAGTCTGATAGGAAACCAAGTAATTAAGTCTCAGATGGGAGTAATGTATCCCAGCATCTCGGAAAGAAAACGCTAAAGACGGCTATTACGGAGGTCATTTAGGTGCGTTTCTAAAGACATCTGACTCATGAGTGCAACCCTTGGGTTGAATTCATTTGGCGAATAGCCATAGAAGGACTATAACAAATCGAGGAGATGGAGTTACGCGATTATTCTAGATAAGATTAGAAATCGACAGATGCCGATGTTACATATCGATATCGGCGGTATGACCGATACCGATGTATCGGCCGCTAATGGCCGTTACATTCATATTGTAACGTAAATTTAATTATGTGATTTATTTATTTACAATTAATTAACAATATATTTATAACAATCTTGAAATAGATTAGGTAATTTATAGCAGTAATTATTACGTATCACTCACAATTTATAACATATAACACGATTGCATCGATGTTGGAACTCCTTGAAGCACAATTCGATTTACTTATATAACAATCGCCTATCTTTCTCGAAAGTTCTCAAACACTTCCGAATATTCTAACAATGTTCTCGAGCAAACGCGTCATATTTCCCAGTAAGATTGCGTCACATCCGCTTTGCTCTCTCTCTCTGCATGACTTTTGATGTCTTTGCAAATTTTATTTTTTTGTGAAATACTTCCACATAACACTTGAGCCATTTTAACAAATATTCTTTGACGGGAAGCTTAGGAGACGAAAATGCGCAAAGCAAAGCGTGATGCGAGAAAAAGCAGAAGAAAGATTCCAACGTCTGCGAATTGAAAATTTAAGGTCGTGATAAGACGTGCCGCCAAAGGGGACGCTCCGCTCTCAGGTCCCCAGTCGTTAAATGACAAACATGGAAAATATTTGACGCTGTGCCACGAAATTGAAATCTTCAAAAATTTTAATTTTTAAAAATAGCCAATACGCCGATATTTTATCGGTATCGAATTTCAGGCATAGTAACATCACAGATCGAAACATGTTCAAAAGAACTGAACCTGCCCAAATGCTATGTTATGCAATTCTGAAAAAAAGCTTCGATGGCAGAAGACTGTGTTGCGGTCACTAAGGCACAGTGAAATCATCTCTGGATAAGTCTCGGAGTGTCGCCACCTACTATAGCAAACATCAAATTATACAATCACATAGTTCTCCCTCTAGCCACTTAGGTAATGCACAAAGTCAAAAAACTGACTAAGTCTAGTGGGTTGGATTCTCCAGTACGACGAGGAGGGTTTCTGTTAAAGATAAAGTGCATTAAAGATGGAGCGTAAATCTAACCCTTCTTTCAAACTAATCCAATTCAAAATCAACTGAAATAGAACGATGCAATCCCACAATGCTCTTCTCTCCTCGAATTCCGCAAACTACGCCGATATGCTGCTGCTATGCTGGTTCTAATACAATTCCAAACCTCCTTCAGATTCGCAAAACCCAAACAAGCAGACTTACAGGTTGATATTACAGTATTACCACAAGAGGGACGTGATTACAGGCGCATCTGGTAGTTTGGCACTGTAAACTCTCATAATCCCGTAGACGTTGTAATATAGAAGGGATGTGCCCTCACATTCTTTGAGAAGGGTGCCTTGAACATCTAGTGGAATTAATTACTCTAATCTCTAAATTCAATTTATCTTATATGAAGAAGAACTGACCAAATATTTCTTTGGGCAAGTTTCATGATGTTGATAATACAATATTTAACCTCATGACATTAAAATATAGATCCAAACTAATAAAAATAGTAAAAAAAAGTTAAAATCCGCCAATAAATGACCGACAAATATATTACTTTAGTTTTCGTATTCAGTGCGCAACACAGTAGTAGTCTGTACAGCCTCGTGACGTCATTTGACCTAGTCAAGTGCCGCCGCTACGGTGGTAACGATACGGCGCACTAATAAGAATAACCAACCGAGACCAACCGTACACGTACTAATCCAACGAATAGGCATCATATGCGAATAGGTCAAGTGACGTCACACGCTGAAACGAAATTATTTTTCCAAGCGCAACTTTGTAACTTGTAACTTCTTCATTTGTGGAAGTATTTTAATGATTCTTTCGCATTTTTGTTTCATTTCACTTAAATTTTCATAATTAACTCCCAACAAAAAAAACCGGAAACTTCTCCATCATAGAACATTA